CAAAATGACTTGGCAAATATTCTGGTTCCCTTGACTTACATTAAAAGTAAAGTAGGTTTTTTCCTTCTCCTGAAAAGTTACCATTTTGGAGATACGAGGTTTTGTTCCGACAACAGCGATATGGAGCTTCGAACAAGCGGGGATGCCCCTGCGTCAGAGCGTTGTGGTTGGCGCCGGACAGCCGTCGCGACGTTTGTCCTCTCTAATGTTTGCCGATACGTTCAGGAACATGGAGCGCCGCGTCGAAACATGTCTGGTAGAAAACGGCATCGCATGTAATGCAAAACATACTTCAAGGTATGAATCATATTTTTTGGTTCAGATTGCTTCATCCTAACCGGAGTTACAACAGAATATTCAGGGCCTCTTTCGAGTGAATCTCCCTGTATCTTCTTTTCTATTTACCAGCACAAATGTGGTATGGATTGAATCTTAGAATCTGCACTTCTCACACTATTTCTCCGCTTGTTTCAACAAGCTAAGGTAAGAAATGATTCACATAACATGACAAAATGCTTTCGTCATCAGCAGTGATAACCACGATCTATGATTACAGAACTCTGAGTTCAGTACTGCCTCAGATATGGACCATAAACAACATTAAACCAAGGTTCTTTTCACAAACACTGCTTTTTTTTTTTACTAATCTGACTTGTGCAACAAAACCTCACATAACAAAACTCCCTCCAGGCCGTGCTGTGTTGTATTAGCTGGAAAGAATGGACAGAACAATGGCCTGCTGTTTACCTGGACAAGCCAGTCTGGACAGTCATTGTGGACAGTTATGTTGTGGTCTTGTTTAACAGGCTGTGTATGTGCATGTAGGAGGGATGGGACGGTCAGTAGTCTTAACCCCTTAAATGTCCACACTTTTAAGTGGTTAAAGGGGGTTCCGTTCTTAACTCCTGTAACCAAAAGGGGAATTCCACTGATTTTTCTAAATTTCTGCATAATTAAATGATTAAAGTGGAAACAGTCATTCAGAGCGGTTTGGTGTGAAATGCTCTGTTCTAGAGTAACGTACCAGATCAGAACTGTTCACAGTGGTGGTGATAGGAACCAGACGTCTGAAGAGCTTAATGGCTCTGTAAGTTCCCTCGCAGAGAGATATTACATGAAATGGTTATGAATATGTTGCCTGACATCTGAGACATTATTCCATCATAGATAAGCTTTTGGCCTAAAATGAATACACACAGAGCATGTTTAAAACAGAAATTACCACGATTTTACTATTTATCAATATTACATACAAAATATTATAACTTATATTATATTATAAACTCAGAAGACACATACACTGTCAGGAAATCTCTCTACTACGCAGCAATTACACACCAAACCGCTCTGAATTACTTTGTTTACATCTCACCCAAGGAATCACGCAGAAATAGAAATTTTGAAAAAATCAGTGGAGTTGCCCTTTAAGACTACCTCAGTTTGCTTTGCTTACCATGTAATTACTGAAGAATAAGCCTTAGGATATAATAAGCCTGGGAAGTTAAGAGGTTAATGATTTACTGCGGTATAAAAGCCAGTGATTATCATACCGTTTCAAATTCCAATCATTCCAATAACTGTGTATGATTAGTGATTTACACTCAATCTCATATTTATTTCATCTGTAATTGATTTTTGTATTATAAAGAAATATGCGATGTTATAAACGTCTGTCAATACAATTTCAGTGTATCAGTACCTACACTTTTATTATCAGCTCATCGCTGCTGTCGGAACAAAACCTCGTATCTCCAAAATGGTAACTTTACAGGAGAAGGAAAAAAACATACCTTACTTTTAATGTAAGTCAATGGAACCACAATTTTTTCCAAGTCATTTTAGGTCATTTCTTTTAGGCCATTCATCATGGCATTTACACACAAAGTAAAGGGCAACAGGCATTTTCAAATTAGGTCAAAAACTGAAAAATGACAAAAATGTGTATATATATATATATATATATATATATATATATATACACACACACACACACACACACACACATATATATATATATTAATACATTATTTCTGTAGCAACTACAGTACTTTCAATCTGCATTAGTGCTTTAAAACATTCTCATGCTATTTCAACATTACTACAATAATGTGGAGATACTGTGACAGTTTTAGTCACTGAGATCATGACAGGCCGTTCCATCTCTAACGTGCAGCCAGGCAGTGAGATGAAGTGGCTGTGAGAAGCCCCTGGCATGAATAGCAAACAAAAAAAAACTAGCATGGATTTGAATTTAGCAATGCGATACTGCTCACAGCGGGCTGTCGGTGACAGAGCGGGCCGACATGCCAAGATTTTCAGAATCTGCTTAACGTATCAGCAAAACGTTCGCTGAAAAAACTGATCCAAAAAGTGATGCATTTACTTGATTCAAATGTGTCCACAGGAATAAAACACATTACATCAACACAATTATGGCAAACCAACAGACAATGCTGTATTGATTTATTTTGATGTATATCATTAATGTCTTTCCAAAAAAGTGCCTTTATAGTAGAAGAAAAAACAATCTTAACGTCCAACGCAGGTTAAAGTAATAAGATTTTGTTCCAAGTCATTTTGGGCCGTTTCTGCTGATCCGTTCACCATAAACTTTTGACACTGTGTTTCAAAAAATTTATAAAAAATAAAAAAAAAATAGATAACAAAAAGATATTTTATTAATGTGTAAATGATTAAAATAATGTAAATGATTACATAGAAATGATTCAAATAATGTAAAAAATTTTATTAATGTGTAAATGATACAAATAATGTATATGATTACACGGAAATTATTCAAATAATGTAAAAAAAATAAAATAATAGATAAAAAAGATATTTTATTAATGTGCAAATGATTCAAATAATTTAAAAAATTAGAAAAAAAGATAAAAAAGATATTTTATTAATGTGTAAATGATCCAAATAATGTAAATGATTACATGGAAATGATTCAAATAATGTAAAAAATTTAAAAATAGACAAAAAAGATATTTTACTAATGTGGAAACGACGTACATATCTGATGTACATATTAGGGCTTTCACAATCCATGAATTAAGCATCATATAAACTCAATAAAAAAACTAATTTAAATATATCTTCTCAATTAATCGCCAGTAAATCGTTGGCAGTTTGCATGATGATAATGCATATGTATAGAGCATCAAGCCATATTGCTTTAGATATCACTGCTGTCCAAAAACAATAATAATTCTTATTTTTCTACATAAGTTGAGCAAAGCAGCTGCGCTTTCCATTGCATGAACATTTCTTGATAAATGGATCAACAGAAATGCTCCAAAATAACGTAAATTATCTTTAAATTAACCTACATTCAAAGGTTAGGAACGTTCTTGCCTTCTTCTTCTATTCCGGTGAAACAATGAGAATTTTTTTGACAGTGACCAAGTTTTTAAAGGCTTTTTTAGAGGATTACTAGTTTATGTTTTGTGCAAAAAAGCATTTTGGAGTCTTTTCAATGCTGTTTCAATGGTGTGTGTGGTTCATTTAAGTCCATTTAATTGTCCAGCCTCTGATTTCTCACCAAAATAATCTGCGTTTTACTCGTTTACTAATATAATCAACACTGACAGCCTTAATCTGAATCAAATAAATGCAGTGTACTCCAAAGGCAGGCAGCCAGAATGCTAAACCAGCTTATAACTAGTGTAATAAGCTTCTAATAACTTGGATGTAGTCAGATTGAAGGCACGTAGGCTTGAGAAGGCTGGGCTATCGGCCGCCTCCTGCCTATAACGATCTCTATAGGCCAGTGGCCAGCGCCTCGCTGGGAGCCAACGGGAACAAAAGCAGCTCCGTCCAGCAAACCACATCAGTCCATCCACCACAGCACAGCCTGCCTCACCTAATTTGAATACGATAACTGTCCTAACACGCAAATTGAATTAGAAATCACAAGTTCAATCACTGGAACCCACACAGGGAGGCATGGGAGTGGACGTGGCTGTGATTAGACTGAGTGTCTATGTGCTTTGGGACCATGTGATTAGACTTGATGACATTAAACCTCATAATCTGAATTACAGTCATAGTTTTTTCACCCCAGGTTGAGTCAGTGCAGCCTATGTCCAATCTTTGTCCACCCGCCTGCTTTATCCTCCCCCTATAGAGCAAGTGCCAAGCTCGCCTCTCTCCTCCTAACTTGTTAACTCTGTTTTTTCCTCCTCTTATCTCCCATTGCTGACAGCGGCATTTCATTAAGTAGGCCATAAAACGCACTGCCATGGTTATTTCTCATCCACTGACACCCCTATTCGTGTATTTCAGACAAAAGAAAGGGCTTTTTTTGTCCCCAAGTTAGTATTGCTGTTATCTTTTCCACTGAAACTCTTTTTCCTTCCTCAAACGCCCATCAAAATACCTGGTCCAGCTGCTCAAAATGAAATCCCCATGTCCCTTCAGGCATGTCTTTCCTGAAAAGAGGAGAAAACAGTTGGAGAAAGCACCACGGCCAGCATTTCTGCTCTTTGCCATCCTGCCTGTAGAGCCCTCCATTTCCAAGATGGACGCTATTAGTGGCTCAAAGACACTGTGGTTTCTGTCTCCAGCTGATTAATGTAAGGATTTAACACATGTAGACTTCACATCTGCCCTTCAACACAAAGCTACGTCCAAAAACAATAAGGTGTGGTGCCTGAATAAGGAAAGAAACCAGGTTAGGGAGAGAGGGAGAGGTGGTTTGTTGGAAGAATAGCTGGTCATAACCTGATTTTTACCCACACAACGCTGGGGAATAACTAAGTCTAGGTTTTAAAGCGTAAATGTGATGTTTTTGTCCCTGTGAAGGGGGTAAATATTGTGAAAGTGGACGAGGCTGAAGTTGGCTTCATATTCGCCAGCTTCTTGTTCGAATTTCCCCGTTCCACCTTAAACGGTGCAGCAAATGAGCTGCTGCACCGCTTAAGGTGGAACGGGGATATTCGAACAAGACGCTGGCGAGTAAGAAAGCTGGAGAAAGGGAGAAAGTGGAGCCTTACCCGAAATCATCGTCCATCGATTTGAAGAAAAATTTGTAATTAGGCTTATTGAGGACCTGTTTGAAGTCGGCCAGGGTGACCCTCTCGGCCGGGATGGGGAGTTTGACCAGGTAAGGTGTCTCCTGGTCGTCGAGGTGGTAGATGATTTTGGTCTCCCCCATGGCGGGCCGCTGGGGAGGAGCAGGCCGGGCGCATCCAGCCCTGAGTCCGGCCAGCAGCGCCTCTTCTCCGGCTGCAGGCTCCGCGCCGCCTCGCTCGAGCTCCGGACACAAAGCCTGCGGACAGACAGCGAAACCCGCCGACGAGTATGACTACGGCTAATAACGGTTCTCCACACGCGGCCAGACGGGCGGTTGTCTCGGTGTTGCCGCTCGTTATTTCCAGAAAGACGGCTCGGTGTGGAAGTTCGCAGCCCCGCTGCCCCACAGCGGACTGAACGGCGCTGCTTTTCTCCTCCTTCCCTTCAGAACAGCTGGCAAACGGAGCGCCGTCAAACAGCGACGCCTAAAGCATCTGCGCGGTACTGCAACCCACCAGATAACAATATAATAAATTATTAACTGTTACTTATTTTATTCTCTACGGAGCCCCGCTGGTGACATCCTGTATAAATAAAAATAATGCGTGGCCACGACTTAGTAAGGCGTGGGAATGAGATGATTAAGTCGTGACCACGACTTAGTAAAGCGTGGGAACGAGATCCTAATGCGTGGCCGTGATCTCGTTCCCACGCCTTACTAAGTCGTGGCCACGCATTAGGATCTCGTTCCCACGCGTTAATAAGGCGTGGCCACGCATTATTTTTATTTATACAGGATGTCACCAGCGGGGCTCCGTAATTCTCCATACCTGAGCAGGGCTGAACGATTTGGGGAAAATGACAAATATTGCGACTGTGAATTAACTTGAAATTATTTTTTTTTTAGAAATTAAGGTTCAGACCTGTTATTCATTTGGCAAAGAAGACCAAAATATCCTCATTTTCTGGCTTAAGCTCTGAATGTCATTTGCCAGACTGCCAGTGAGTTGTGGTTGTGATGTCACAACACATGGAGTTTGGTTGCCTCTGATTGGTGTAACTTATCTACAAGCAGTTCACAAGCTCTGTGGTGTTAGGTTAAATCTCCCCACTTTAAAGGTAAGGCAACATTTTTGATAATGAGGGCTAATTTAATAATTTAAAAAAAAAGCAGCAGCTTTTTGAAAATTGTGCTCTCTTAAATTGCGATTTTGTTATAAAAATTATTAATCTTTCAGCCCAAGTACTGAAATGTGGTGTGAATCACTATTATCATTTAATTAGCAATCACTGAGACAATTTATTTAAAAAGTGTACAATATGAACTGTCTTGATAAATGTGATATATGATAAATGTCTTGACCTGCATTAGACGAATAAATAATCTAAACCAATCTAAAAAGCTATTTTCGTAATTCTTTAATTCTGATCCTGTGATGGCTACTCTAAATTTTCTAATTCGTCTTCACTGAGGAGATTTTTGGAAAACATGTCAACAATATAAACCATTATAAACTTGATATATTTTTAATAATAAATAATAATAAAAATTTGTCTAAATTATTAACCATAATAAATGTTTCTTTTTATCCTCTATTATTCTTTGATGGAAAAAGAAGTTATTCTTTTAGTTAGGCTAAAGAATAAATAACATAGGCTATTTAGAAAAATCTGTATAATTATTATAATCAATTATAATATATAATAAAGTTGCTGCTTATTTTATTGTCCCTTAATAACAGCAGCATTTCACAGAGCATGCTATAAACCAGGCTGTTTTGGAGGGGGGGTTGGAGTGATTCCTGAGTTTTCTGCATGGAATAAAAGTACATTAAGTGCCTCCATCTAGTGGACAAAATCTCTCGGTCACCTCGTATAGAAACAGAAGTTAACCAACACCTGTTTAAACTCTATTTAAACTTCTATATACTGTTAAATGAGATTTTTATCCTGGAGCAACATTGTATCCCTAAACAATGGGTGACCTACAGAGTCAGGTCATGAACAAACACCAGAAATGTTCATTTTGATGCCTTTTATTCCATTTTAAAGGGAAAATACACCAGTCTTCAGCTCATTAAGGCCACCAATGATTCACGCTGACCCACATCCAAGCGTTTACACTCACTGGTTTAAACTTTTACTGCATCTCTTCTGCACGTTTCTCCTCTACTTATATTAAAGGGGATTAGATTTCACTAACATACAAAATGGGGACCAAGGCAAATCGTGACACGTCCATGACATTTAAAGGGAACAATAAAGGAAAGTGAACAGCACCAGTTAGCAATATGCAAATGACATCATGCAAATTAGTGGCTACTACCTTACAGTCATTGTTTGCCATGTTAGCACATTCGGTCAGTTTATTTCTTTGAAACCAACAATATGGTAAGAACTCTATCTCCTTTAAAGGGTCCATATCCTACATTTCTATAGTGCTTTGTTTTTTTCTCTTTTTCCTCTTATGATAATGGTGTTTTATGTACCAAACGCAGTCTTAGTTCACTTTAACATGATCATTTTCCAATCTGTCTTTATCCTTTAACAGTGAATTCAAAACAGGCAGCTTAGTTTCCATATATGGACTGTATGGACCGGAGAGTAACCGGTTCATTTTAAAGGCTCTTATCCGAAAAAAAACAAAACAATTAATTTTATCACGACTGAGCCCCTTTAAATTACTTTACACTTTAAATCTGTCAAAAGAGAAAAAACAAAAACAAAGGGCAATTTCTTTCAAGAACATTCACAATATTCAAATATGGGTTAAAGGACCAAAAGAAACAGGCTGTTTGTTTGGGCAGCTGTGTTTAAGAGCTCCACAGTGTTAAAAGCTTTCAAAAAGGCACCAACGTCTCACTGGTTTCACCGCACCGGAGACGAAGCCGTGTTGGTGGCAGAGGTGGACCAGCACCACGAAAAGCAGGAAAAGCAGAACAGCCGGAATAAAGTTTCCAGTTTCAGGAAACAAACCACTCTCGAAGATACGTCAAGGGGGTGTAGAGTTTCACACAGTGTTAGTTCATTCACTTCAGCATCAGCTTCAAAAGGACGATATACAGTCAACGGTGAGTCCTCTGGAATGAGTCCGAGGTGAGAATCCTCTGCTGTAATGAGGGAGCAGCTGGCTACTAATCACTCTCTGACACCGAGTCCATTAGCAGTCACATCATGATTTGAGGTCAGCTACTTTTGTGAGTAATAGACGGTGCAAAACAAGACACATTAAAACACGTGCATAGGCAGAGTGTAAACACACATACAGTCACACACTTAACACATTAATGTGCAGTACTGCGCTAAGGTCAGAGACCACCCATCATTTATTTCATTTCCAGTCAAAACGTCCATTAAGTAGAAATTATTCCTTTTTCAGGAGATTTTCTGAGATTAGATATAAGATAATTCACTTATTAATGCACTTGTTCAAAAGCTAGAGAAAATGAGGCTCCTAACAGCCACCTGGAAGACCTGGTTGACACCAAAACTGCCCCCATCAGATAAACAGCACTTAAAGCTTTCATCTTTGAGAGAGAGGAGAAAATCAAGCTGCTTCAGATCTGAAAACATCCACAGGTGTTTCTGTCCATCCTTCCACTGTGAGAAGACGACTCAGCGCTGTGGGTCTGAAAGGATGTGTAGCTGTCAAGAAGAACCTCACTGAGAAAAGGAGACAGACACATCAAACAAAGAAGCTGAACAATGGACTGACCACCCCAGAGTCCAGACCTCAACACCACTGAATGTGTTTGATTACTTCAGAAAATGATCAGCGAACTTCTAAGACTGAACTAAGGAGGTGTTTCTGCAGATTCTTTGAAAAACTGAAAGTGAGTCTCCTGAAAAGAATGGAAGCTCTGATTAATAAAAATGGATGAACACAGTAAATACTGAACAATTTGATATTATATTTAGTTGTTGTTCTGTGTAATTTTCTGTTAAATATGTGTTTTCTGCATTTATTCCTTAGATTGAAAATTAAATAAGTGAAGGGTGGTCAATGATTTTTAAACAGTACTGGAGAATCTATGGACAGATGGCAATTTGTATTAACATAAACACACACACACACACACACACACACACACACACACACACACACACACACACAGTGGATCTAAAAAGTATTTGGACATTTGTGCAAGTTTATGGTGCTCAGGCTCAGAAATAAAATGTCAAGCGGCATGTCAAAATCTAAGTGGCATTTACTTTAAACAGACCGGCCCAAGACTGTCTTTTGGTATTCTTCCAAATGATGGCTCATGCATTTCAGACTGTTATTTCTTTGCAGGTTTAGACCCAAAATGCTTTTGTACACTTCCGAGTTCATGATTCCATCAATCAACACAAGCTCACCGACATCACTGTAAGAAAAACAGCCCCCAGACTTCGATGTTTCCCCAGACCTTGTAGAGAGGAGAATTTCCACTCTGTAATGTCTTCTGGGTTTCTCAAACGCTAGAGGGCGCTCCCGAGCAAGTCCAGAATGAATGGGTTGAGATGGAGCATTTGAGCAAAACCATAGTTTTCAAATGAACACTGTAAATATAAAATAATACATTCATTTTCTAAACACAGAACATCACTTTTATATTTTTGAGCACTTTTGAACTCCAGTTATAGGAGTTTACGTAATAACATCAGTGAGCGCGAACAGACAAAGAGCTGCTCCGCTTGCCAACCAGCACTCAGTAGCAGTAATGTTAGTGTCCTGCTGCCCCAAACCTGTTTGCTGTAGAAAAAACGAAACGTACAGGTGAGTTTTCCTGGCTCTTTTTAGTGAAATACATCCTTCTACTTTCTAAAATTAAAGGAAAGCTCTGGGCGTGTGATTAGAAACTATTTTAACTTTTTGTTTTTAGCCGTTTAACTCCATTCATTCATTGAGGACTCGCTCGAGGGCGCCCTCTGGCGTGTTGCAGTCCTGTTTTTGATATAACGGAGGAAATAGGAAGAGGCCAGGCTCCTCATAAACCCGCTCTGGTTTCCCCCTCTGTGCTTTACAGTAGCCACAGTGCAGTCTGGTTGCAATTATTCTCCAGGATCTATCCACACAAACACTGTACCATCAGAGTGAAGCTGTGCTAAAAGTGTTTTTCTCTGAATCACTTGAACATTTTATGAAGTAACCTAAAGAATTTAAAGTTTACTAATGGTTATTTTGTCCAAATTCTTTTTGGGGCCACTGTATGTGATGCATGGGTCATAGCATACAAACCATCACACACACACACACACACACACACACACACTTGGATCATGGCATACAATCCATCACAAACATGATCACTGACGTCTCTCCGTTACATCGTCAAACAAACCTGAGCAGCTTGAGTAAAGACTATTAAATATAAAATCCCAGTGTTGGAGAACACAGACACATGCTTGCCTCCCTCGATGCACATCTCGCAGAGCCAGACGTGATCTTGCAACGAGAACATCTGGGGACAACCATGAGAAATAGACCCCTAAAGTTGTGCGTCATCTTGTAGTCGCCATCATGCCCCTATTAGGAACTCTGGTTTTCTCTATCACAAAAATGAATGGTGTTTTGGAAAACTGCAGCTGTTGAAAGCTGTGGTAATACAAAACACTCCAAACCTGATACGTTTTGCCGTATGGTCATTTTCCCTTCAAATGTGCCTGGATCCTTTAAAGATTAGAGGTCGCTAAGGAGCTAAAATGCGGCTATTGCTACTTGCAGGCTAACACTGCTGGGCACGGAACTGACATCATAATACTGACCTCACCAAAGTACCCCAGCAGGCTTTGTCAAATGTGGTATTTAAGTTGCTTTGGCAGTTTTAGTAGCTGGTGTTGGTATATTACAGTGTTTAAGTTTAACAGTAGACTTATTTTCATGTCAATTCAGTGCACAAGAGAATTAGCTTGCTTGTAGCACGTATCTAGCTAGCATTATTCATATTTTGCTTGCTAAACAACCTCACAGTTCAGAAGACCCAGAAACATTCAGGGAAAAAAAAAACATACATTTTTGTCAACCACAGGATGTGGCAGCTTAGACCTGAAGCTCTGGCTGTTTTGGGCTAAATGTTGGTGGGAAATTGTACCACAGTGTATGGTAATACGGGTGTGTGAAAAAAGCGTTTACATCCTGCATTTCAAACCAAAAACCACCAAATAAAGTTCAGTTCACTTACAGAGTCACCAAAAAAGGGACCGCAGTACACATTTTCAATCTGTCATTCAATAAACGTCAAAACATCTCTCTACGTTAAATACTACTGCTAACCAGGACAGAGGCGCTAGTTAGCATAGCTTAGCTATGCAGCACAAACTGCAAAAAAAAGGTATCCTGGCAAGAGAAATCATCTTAAATCCAGTTGACATATCTAAAACATCTGATTTTGAGACTGTTGTAAGCTTATTATGATAATTTAACTCACTGCTAGATATTTTTTACTTGTTTTAAGTGGTTTAAGTAAGTCAATGTATCTCACTGTACTTGAAGATAATATCGCATGTTTCAAGCATATTTCTCAAAATCTCAAAATGAGAAATATTTGATATATTAATTAGATTTAAGATCATTTCACTTGGCAAGATGTCATTTTCTGCAGTGCAGGTTTAGATGATAGTGACTCAGATCGAGTGAAGTTGAGCGACTGCTATTAGAGAGACAAAAAGACAAAATTAACTTAATTAGCAGGCCATGGATGTAAGTTAGCATGGCTGAAAAGACCCCCAAAAACTTAATTAAGCATATAGATGTGTGTCTCGTGCGCTGAGAACACATTACATGAGGTAAAAATAAATGTTTGCTACCCATTGTTTTCTCTAGCTAGCTTCTTTTGCCTGTGTTATTGACTCTAATCTGGAGGTTAAAAGAGCAGTGGACACTAATCCGGCAGACTTCAGGTCCAAACCTAATCAGCCCCATCTGATTCGTCTAACTATTGCTTTCAGAAGTCCTTAATTAGCTGAACGAGGTGTGCTAGATTGGGGTTGGAGGTGAAGCCTGCAGGATGGCAGATCTCTAGGAGGAGGGCTGGTGACAACTGGGCGAGAGTAATTTGGGGGGAGTTTTAGAGGTGGCCCCCTGTTTATGGAGGATTTTCAATCCAGCATCCAGCACCAAAAGTTAAACCAGCCGTCCCCAAACGCGTATTCTCGTTATGAAATCACGTCTGGCCTGGCACGACTACTTCTGTCCAGTCTAGGCTGGTCAGTTCAAGTCCTGTCCAGTTCCAACTGCGTCCCATTGATTCTTTTTTCCTTCATATCGCTCCGTTCCTGACCACAGCAGATGTGCGCGAGCAGTTAGGCGGAGACGTTGACGTCCCTCAGAGCGATGGCCCCGCTGGTGGGCGGCTCGGTGGGCGTGTCCAGCAGTGGGGGGTCGGTAGCAGAGGCGTTGGCTGGGCCAGCGTGGAACAGAATCTGCTGCAGTGTTTTGCGCAGATTTGGGTGTAAACGAGCCTGAGTCTGATAGAAGACCTCCACTGCGAAACACTTCATCACCCCCCCACACAGATCCTCATACAGCGGCACTGTGTACATACGGGACGTCTGCAGGAGACAGAGATGTAAAAGCAACAGTCAACACTCAGAAGTCTACAACTGTTACTGTGATTTCGCTAAACTTTAGCTTTACATTAATGAGCGCGGAGTGAGAAAGAGGAGCCAGTCAGTATGGCTGAAATGTTCCGCAAATACCTGAATTAAAAATGTCCCTTCCCTAAATTATTGCTGTCAAAGTTAACGATTTAATAACAAGCTAATGCAACGACCCAGAGGAAAAAAATCTTTCTGAAGATTGTCTCAGAGTAATAAAGCAGATCACAATATTATATCAATGAAGGATCACTGATTTCTGAATTGTTTCTCCTAAACCTAAAAGAGGAGATTAACATCAGCATTTCACTGTGAGAAGTTCTGGTGATGAATGAGAAAAGCGTAGGTTCTCCTTCTATACTAGCCACGTTTACATGCAGCCTAATAATCCGTTAATAATCCGACTAATAGTTCAATCGGACTAGAATGCGTCCATGTATACACTTCAGTCAGAATAGTCTAGTCTGATTGAGGCCATTCGGAATACAGTTTCTATCCGACTGATCGAGGTGGGTAATCCTGTGAATAATCCATTAAATAGAAGAATAATATCTGTGTAAACGCCTGTATCTGATTACATTCCCTATCGGAAAGTTTAAGTCCGTTCTGATCATGTTCGTCGCGTCATAGTGAAAGTTTATACCGTTCAACATGGCGGAGCAGAAACTGGTCTGCAGAGGAGACGAAGTTTATGCTCTGATCTTTAAAAGACGGCGGCGGGACGGAAGTTCAGCTTATGTGTCTCAGAACACAACGTCTTCCTCTCGGCCTTCTTTAATAAGGACATGTGAAGGACGTTTTCCTGAGTCTGACATCATTTTAAAGCAATTAAAAACACAAGCGCTGCTCACTGCTGCTCGTCTCACTCTGACTGGACTCACATGATGCTGGTTGTCATGGTAACGTCTACACTAAGTGGTTTTCTATGCATGTGTGTAATTTTGGATTGGATTGCTTGTAGTGAGCATGTAAACGGAGATTTTCATCAGGTTGTTGAGTAGAGTGGGCATAAACACCTCAGTCTTAATCTGTACTGGGAACGTATTCAATCGGATTGGCAAAAATCTTTGCGTGTAAACACAGCCACTGATGGAGAGCTGAAAGAGTTCTGTAATATAGAACAGAGCTGTATAAGAAAACAATGAGCTCTGACACTTTTCTGATGGAAGTATTACTCAGCTGAGACTGGGGTGAGATGAGTCAGACACTAAAGAGTTAAGCCACGTGTGACAACATTTTGATAAAAGTGAGAAAATCTGAGTTTTATTTCTCAGGAGTCAAATTCAGAAACAGGAGAAAACGGCTAAAGTCTCACTCTGATCTCAAACTGAACTTAACCACGTCTAGGAGAAGTACCTGAGATCAAGAGGAGATCTCATTTAGAATATTTCCTTCCTCTGGGGAATTTTTTGACGCTGTTGACACGTTTTCCTCGGACGACCCATCTGTAGCAGTGCAGGCTGAAGCCCAGCTGCAGTGTGCTGTATGTTTCCATGACTGAATCAGTGACTGTAGTCCTCTCACTCAACAACAGCTTTAAATAGCTTTCAGCTTCAGCTCCTTCTGCAGACTAAGCTCTTGAGGGTAACTTCCTGTTGCTTTTGCACATTTTATACATTCTTACAAGGCTTATTTTGTCCACTCACACTTCTGTAACAAAACGTACTGCTTTTTAATATTTCTTTGGGGTCAAATCTGAACAAATAAGAAAAAAACGCTGTTAATTGAAGTTAACTACACAAAATAATGGGATTACTCACAATAATTTTAATCCTTTGACAGCTCTAATTAAATGTAACTACAAGGTTAAATAATTACTTACATAATGAATTACAATTTACATTCTGTATCAACAAAATAAATGATTAAATCATGACAAAAGAGGATTCTTTTTAAAAAACAAGAATGTACAGACAATAACCTTTCATCAAATTAAAATAAAATAAAATATAATGTATATAATGAAATATCTTCTCATCTATGTACAGACACAAACCATCCCCTTGGAATTTTGAGGTTCTATTTCACATTTTTTCATCCATCTTTTCTTTTTCTTCTTTCTCCCAAAATAAGACATTTTGGCTCATTAGAGTCACATTTCTGATATAAAACAGAGCCTCATACTGCCTTTAGACTGACCTGCTACACTTACTTGATACATGTAGACACATACAGCACAGTTACAGCACTAATTTGATGTTTTGAAACACATTACAAGTGAACTGTTTGTATTCCTTGAAAATCACTGCTTCTTTTCATGTTCTGCCAGATAGAACCTTATTATTCCATACAGAAAATGAGTTCTTAGGATTAGAAGGTTCTGTCTGCATTTGACCTGTTCCAAAAAACTCATTTACAAATTTGATAGATTTTGAAATTGTACATTTAAAACACATTTGGGGTGTCTGGCCTTTTTAATGCACAAAAGAGGCGTGTTCCACATATCAGTTTTGCTAGGTAGAATGCAAAATCTTTGAAGCTCAGTATCTCAAAACTGTTCAGAAGACAGATAGAACCTAATAATTCCAAGGTGACGCAATGTAGTATGGACTGAAATCTTAGAATCTGCTCGTTTCAAGGAGCGATGAGTGAAAAATCATTAAACCAAACGTAAGAAGAGGTGCTTCAAGGTGTAAAAGTCATGAGGGACCTAGAAGGGTTAACGCGAAATACGGACCGTGGGTGGAAAGCTGTCTGCTCATCCCTTTGAAGTAGAAATGCACAAATCAAAGTCTGAAGCAACCACCAATAAAATAGAAGACATGATAAATCAGAGAGAACGCTGGAACAGGTTTGGAACACCTGCCAGATGGATTTTCTACAAGGAGGATGAGGGAAAAAGAGTGGTGCAGTTTTCAGTTCAGGAGTGTCAGAGATCCATTAACAGCAACTGCACTAGTATCTTGAATTTCTTCAGAAATAGAAAAGCAACACAGAGCGATACATTTATTAACCCACAGAAGTCACAGCTATTATAACTAGTGATCACAAAAGCATTTTAAAAATTTTTAATGAATTATTTCTTACAAGCGGAGAAACACACAGTGGACAGTTCAGATTCTAAACTTTCAATCCACACCGCATTTGTGTTTGTAAGTAGTAGAGGAGACATTTTATCATGATTTGAATTAAAGTTATTGTGTGTACAGTCACTTTACATGTTTGCCATGCTTTTACCATTTTTTCACACTGAAATAAATTGGGGAAAACGTCAGAAGTGCAGACTTCAGTGATACGTACGATGTAATTAAGTATATAATTGTTACGGGACAGCAGGGAGGCGGACCCAAGTGCAAAGAGGAAAACCCGTAAGAAATAAATACATTTATTGACGCAATGGAGTGTAAATTTGGCACGTTGGAGTTGAGGTGACCCACATACTGAACGGTGGTCCGTGGAGTTACCGCTGCGCCACCGGGAAGCACAGGCGACAATGGGAAATAAAAAGGCAGGAAGAAGGGCAAACAAAGGAAACGCTGAAAGCAACGTGCTCAAACAAAGGCTGAACCAGAAACGTGAAATAAGAGATAATCAGAAAACAAAAGTCACTTCCTCTGTAATTATGAGGAGAAGACAGACTTTGTTTCACTTGTTTGCTCTTAGTGGAGGAAACCATACCGGTCACCCCTCTACAAAGGTGTGACAAAGGGCTGCTGTTTGCCACAGCCTTAAGTAGAGGAGTCCACAGGTGTGTCAGGTTGGGCCTAATCAGCCCGAGGGCTTCTGGGAATTGGAGTTCCCTGAAGTTATGGCACCTCGGGCTGGGCACCTTACAATAATCATGTAATCACATTTAAAAAGTATAGCGAAATGACAGTAATAGCTCTAGACGTCCAAGGTTTAATGTCCTTCGCGCTGTATGATTTACTCACGTGTTTATGGAGAAAGCTGCGGACCCGATGCAGGTCCGGGTAGAAGCCGTTCCGCACCACAATCTGCAGCCAGCGGATCCTCACCTCAGCATTCATCTCGTCCAACAGCGCTGAGTAACGGCTCGACAGCAGACTCATCACCTCTGCAGACACAAACAAAAATCTGCTTACAGAATGGAGGAGTGATAAAGGCCAGGACACAGAGACCAAAACATTTCCCATCAAACATGAACACTAACACCGGCTTCAGAAAAAGAACCGATGAACGTTAGCTTTATCTTCCTCACAGCTCTTTTCTTCCTACTTCTTTTATGTTAAGTTTAGCTGGAGTGCGTGGAACCAAAAATGAATGCCGTTGTGCTTTGGAACTTCAGCTTGCTTCAGTGTGACTCACTGCAGCAGAACAACCAGGCTAAACCAACTGGATATTACCCTACAGCAGTCAGCTCCAGCCCTGAAACCTTTAGAAGCAGAGAACGTTCCTCTGATCCCCGTCTACGGCTGAGAAACAGGATCAGAGAAAGATAACAAATAATATGTACACACTTTTACAGTTACAACATTGGGTGGCTATTAGGCCTTTAAAAGCCATTACTATCCACCAGTTTCTCTGCTCTGGGTTTCCCAGTGTTATTTACCATCTGAGAATAATTTGCAGCATTTTCCATAACCTTAAGGCCCAGTCCCATCCATCCATCCATCCATCCATCATCTAAACCGCTTATCCTTCTGGGTCGCGGTGGGGTGCTGGAGCCTATCCCAGCTGTCATTGGGCGGAAGGCAGGATACACCCTGGACAGGTCGCCAGTCCATCGCAGGGCAGACAGACAGACATACACATTCACACACTCACTCACACCTAGGGGCAATTCAGCACGTCCAATCAGCCTGACTGCATGTCTTTGGACTGTGGGAGGAAACCGGAGTACCCGGAGGAAACCCACGCAGACATGGGGAGAACAGGCAAACTCCACACAGAAATGACCCCGGTCGCCCAGCCGGGAATCGAACCCAGGCCATTCTTGCTGTGAGGCGACAGCGCTACCCACTGTGCCACCGTGCCGCCAAGGCCCAGTCCCATTTCTTATTTTTACCCCTACCCCTTGTTTTCGAGTGTCACCTTGCCCCTTGGAACTGAGTTACAATGGGTAGTGGTTGAAATCTTTCTCAAAAAATGGGATACTCAAATAAAGAAGAACTTCATTAACAGGCTACTAGCGGTGCTAGGAGGGTAAAGTTGAGCAACCACACTTCTGGGCTTTAGTTAAATTTAGGGCATCACATGCCTTCAAAGAGGTGGGAGGGTGCAATTCAGTGATATGAAGCTGAAGGCAGCTATCCGCCAGCTTCATGTTTGAAATTTAGCAAGCTCACGACCGAGACATCAGCATACTGGGGCAGTCGTGGGCTGGAGGTTAGCCTTGTGACCAGAAGGTCGCCAGTTCGATCCCCTGAGCTGACAGCATGTGACTGAAGTGCCCTTGAGCAAGGCACCTAACCCCAACTGCTCCCCTGGCGCTGTGGATAGGGCTGCCCACCACTCCGGGCAAGTGTGCTCATTGCTCCCTAGTGTGTATGTGGGTGTTTCACTGCACAGATAGGTTAAAATGTGGCGGTGAAATTTCCCCATTGTGAGACTAATAAGGGTCACATAATTTAACTACTAGCAATTTTTTATGCTTGTTATGAAGAAAAGGACCATAATACATCAAAATGACATTAAACTAAGATAATACAATGGTTACCGTAATTTTTTAAAGGTAAAAATTCTCACATATGTGGGTTTCTTTGGTCGCTTGCACAACCATCTTGCCGTTTTTTCTTTTTTTTTCCCATAAAACTCTGAGCCTCTGAAAAACCTCCGTTTGGAACACTTCGCCCTACCCCACTATCGCAACAAAAATCGGGACACTCTACCCCTAGATGTGAATGCAAAACGGAGGGGTAGGGCTAAGTGGTAGGGGCAAGGGGTGAAATGGGATTGGGCCAAAGTGTCGCGGTGGTTTAAATGAGTTTAATTATGAAAATTTACTTTAAAAGTTAATACTTTTTAGAGGGATTAAACTCTTTGAATGTGTGGTTCACCACCACTGTGAACAATTCTGACTTGGCAAGTTTCTCTAAAACGAAGCGTTTCACACCAAACCACTCTGAATTATATCTTAATCGTGTAATCATGCAGAAATTTTGTCAGTGGAATTCCACTTTAAGAATCTAGTGTTCTTCTGCACAGCACAGGACAGATCCTGAGGCCTGTAGGAGAGCAGGGGGATTTGCGTACCTTGGGGAAGCGGTGAGCGGTCCAGTAGCCGGTCCAGAAACAGCACGGTCTGGAAGGTGCTCCAGGTGGAGAGGTCAAAGGTCGCGATGGCCTGATGGTCAGGGGCCTCCACGCCCCAGAGATCACACAGCCGTTGGACCGGACCCGTCAAAGCCCCACCGGCCGAAAGATCGGGTTCACACAAGGGAGGGCCGCAGTCATTCAGCCAGCGCTCGAACTCCAGCCCTGAGCCACAGAGAGAGAGCAGAGAGGAAGAGTTAAATTTCCATTCCCTTGGCTTCCATGACTCACACTGCTAATGTAGCTCTGACCCCTTGCTGGTTGTTATGGCTGGCTCCCTGGGATAATCCCTCATTGCACAGAAAGAGGAATGCAGTTTGCGTGTGAGTGACAATATAAGAAAACCACAGAAAAACAGAATAAAGTGTTTCATTATTCTAAAACAAAGAGCAAAAACATTCCTTTTTGGTTTATGAAGACAGGGTTGGGTTCAGAATGAGATAATTCTTATTCTTATTACACATTATATATATATATATATATACACACTTGAATATGTGTGATACATATGGAGCATATTGTTATGACACAGACAGAACTGTTCAAAAGTCAGAAACCACCCTTCATTTGTTTAACTTCCAGTCAAAATGGCCATTAAGCAAGTTTCTTTCAGCATCTGGAAAAAGCAGAAATCATATATTTAACAAAAAGAATTCATAGAAGCCTCAACAACTAAATATGGATTTTTTTTCAGTATATATTTATTTGTGTCCACCCTTGACCTTAATCACAGCTTCCATTCTTTTCAGGAGACTTGCTTCAATTTTTTAAAGAATCCCGCTGGGATATTCTTCCACACCTCCAAAGTTCAGTCTTAGAAGTTCGCTGATCATTTTCTGAAGTAATCAAACACATTCAGTGACATTAAGGTCTGGACTCTGGGGTGGTCAGTCCATTGTTCAGCTTCTTTGTTTGATGTGTCCGTCTCCTTTACTCAGTGAGGTTCTTCTTGACAGCTACACATCCTTTCAGACCCACAGCGCTGAGTCGTCTTCTCACAGTGGAAGGATGGACAGAAACACCTGTGGATGTTTTCAGATCTGAAGCTTGATTTTCTCCTCTCTCTCAGAGATGAAAGCTTTAAGTGCTGTTTATCTGATGGGGGCAGTTTTGGTGGTTGTTAGGAATCCCATTGTCTCTGCAGCTTTCAATCATATTCTGAACTATTTTTTTCACCTATATTCCTTTGACTTTTTCCTCCTCCATTATGCAAGCAGATTATCTTATTTCTAATCTTCTCAAAAGTATCTCCTGAAAAATGAACAGCTTGTGCTTGATGTTCATTTTGAATGAAAATTAAAACACATGAAGGATGGTCTCTGACTTTTGCACAGTACAGTACGTCTAATAAATATGGGACATATTGTATAAAGCTCACCCTCTCGTTTTGCTACACAGCTCTCCTTCAGCTCAGGGAAGAAACCCAGGAAGAAATCGAGCAGGTCCTGAGCAACCACGCTGCTGAACCTGAACTGCTCGATGTAGGCCTGCAGGGAGGAAACAATTAATGAGTGTGTATGTGTGGGCAAGCATACTGCCTGACAAAACTTTGAGGAGACCTGGCTTTTCAAAATATTATTATAACTGAGCAGTTATTTTTTGTAGGTTTGCAATAACTAGAAAAAACAATAAATATTTGTGGCAATACCAATTAACTAAACTAAACTTTTCCCAAAAAAGGTCCCCTAATGGCGATAACTGCTACACTCTTCAGCACTTTGGCACTATAATTTATGTGTGATTATTTTCCTCTAACTAATTTAGACTTTAATATCCTAAATAATTGACTAAGTAAACATGCTCATGTATATTAACAATATCCTTTCTGACTGCCTTGTCCTGAATACCACACACACACACATACTATATGTTGCTGTTGTCGGAAGAAAACCTCGTATCTCCTGTTTTGACATTTTAAGTTTTTGACATAATTTGAAAATACCTGTTACCCTTTACATTGTATGTAAATTTCATGATGAACAGACTACAAGAAATGACCCAAAATGACTTGGAAAAATGTCTGGTTCCATTGACTTACATTAAAAGTAAAATAAATATATATATATATATATACATATATATATATATATATATATATATATACACACACACACACACATACATATATATATATACACATACATATATATATATATATATATATATATATGTGTGTGTGTGTGTGTGTGTGTGTGTGTGCGCGTGTGTGTTATCTATATATGATGAAACTCAAATTTCATGATGACTGCACCAAAAAATATGACCCAAAAAAGTCTGGTTCCATTGACTTACATTAAAGGTAAAGTAGGTTTTTTCCATTTCCTGTAAAGTTGTCATTTTGGAGATAAGAGGTTTTCTTCTGCCAACAGTGTGTATATATATATATATATATATATATATATACACACACATATATATATATATATATATATATATACATACATACACGTGTTTGTGTGTGTGTGTGTGTGTGTGTGTGTATTTAGACAGCCTTTCCCACACCAACAGCCCTGTCTTTTGGTTTTAGAGAAGTTCCAGTAATTTTGTACATTTTTTTCTACCATCAAATGGTTGAGATGCAAACCAAGAGTGGTTTGGTGTGAAACGCTCTGTTCTAGAGAAACTTGCCGAGTCAGAATTGTTCACAGTGACAGTAACAGAAACCAGACATCCAAAGAGCTCCCTCACAGAGGTTTATTACACAAAATGATTACCAATTTACTGCCTGATGTCTGAGACATTGTTTTATGATCGTTTTGAGAAGGTTTTGGCTTGAAATATGTGTTTTAAAATCCATTGATGTGGAGAGGTACATGCAGGACATTATAAAGAAAACAGTCCCTAATCAAAATTTTCAGATTTACTACTATTTTATCATCATCAACATTATATGTAAAAACACTTGTAGGTTCACTGGGGGGTTTGGATACATTTGTGTTGTAGACATTGTGACCCCTGGTTCCTATCACCACCACTGTAAAGAAATCTGAACCGTTTCACATCTAACCACTCTGAATGACTGTTCACGTCTCAACGATTGAACTACACAAAAAACTTAAATCATTGGTGGAATTCCCCTTTTATGTCACCAAGACTAGGGAGCTGTGTATAGGAGGCAAAATGAAGGTCAGCAGAGCCGGTCACTCACTTCAAATACCTAGGAGCAGAAACTGATAAGCTCATTCTGTGGACTACACTGATAAGAAAGAGAGGCAGTGCCCTGCTCTTCTCAGGAAGTTGAGGAGCTTTAGCACCAGTAAGAAACCATGATCATGATCTATAGATCATTAATTGAGAGTGTCTGAAGATTGAAAGGCAGAAAAATCAAAACATTTTATCCCACTAGCTAAGAGAATTCTTAACGAGTCTTTATTTAAAGCAGCACCACGTAATATTTTGTTAAAAATGAAAGAAGTAGCATTAATGAATGTGTAGAATAAAGAACATATCGTCGCTGTCCAATGAAAAACAAGTATCTCCAAAATAGTAACTTTACAGGAGAGGGTAAAAACGTTCTTCACTTTTAATGTAAGTTAATAGAAAACGTTTTTATTCTAAGCAATTTTGGAGCATTTCTATTGGTCCAATCTTCATGAAATTTTCACACAATGTAAAGGACAGCTGCTGAGCTCAAATGGTGCAGAAAAGTAAAAATCGCAAAAAAAAATCATTTAAAAGAGGTACTGGGATATATTAAACAAACAGGAGAAAATGAGCCATGATACTCCGAAGCATACGCTAGCCTTAATAACTATGTTTTTTAGGTGCTAAACAATGAACCATGATGTGTCTCTACAGACAACGATCAGAACTGTCCAGGCTGTAGTCTTTTCTGCAGATCTTCATGGCTGTGAAAGCTGGATAATAAAAAAGTGTGACGGAAAAAAACTGCTGGCTTTGAACTCTGTCGAAAGTACTGTCAAAGACTTTTGTGAGTACTCTGGACGGCAAGGACAACAAACAAATGGATTCTTGACCAAATCAAGCCTCACCTCTCACTCAAAGCCCAAACTGAAGCTCTCTTATTTTAGACATATTATGAGAAGATCATTGGAAAAGATCATTACAATAAACTTATTAATCAAATATTAATCAAATGTTTGGAACAGCTGAAGGTAAAAGGGGGAGAGCCAGCAACAAGATGGATCAGAGAAAGCCATTAAGAAGCTCAAAGACCCAAACAGAAACACTAACCATATGGTCACCAGGAGTCATAACCGACTGGACAGCACAAAATAAAAAAATAAACCTAATGCTAATTCAGGTTTAGGAGCTATATAAGAAAATTATCCTCCATCAGCTGAGCTGGAAGAGATCCTAGGCGTCTGCAGTTGAGTGAAGTGATCTGGATGGGCTGTAATGCTTCAGCAGTTTAGTGAAATATGCTGGAATTTGGCTATTAAAGGCTTTAAATGTCATCAGCATGTTCTTGCAGCCAATGCAGAACTTAACAGGAAGTCTGAATATGATAAGTATGAATAACACACTCCAATATTCAGGCTGCTGCATTCTGAGCCAACCAGCCAGTAACACATTACTATAGTCTGATCTAGTAGTTTATACACAGTCGAGTCACATTATTATGACCACTTCCTACTTTCGACGGCGGAGGCAGGGTTATGGTCTAGGGAATGTTTTTGTGGCACTCTGAACTGATTAGGGTATGAATCCATTCTTGCAGATCACGTACACCCATACATGCTGACTGTCTTCCCTGGGACGGATGGGATCTTCCAGCAAAACAATGCAAGATGTCACACGGCTAGAAATGTCTGACACTGGTTGGAAGAACATAACCAGGACTTCCCAGTACCACCCCGGCCCCCTAATTCCCCAGACTTGAACCCGATTGAGCATCTGTGTGACCACCTTGATCATCGTGTTAGCTCTATGGATCCGCCCCCACGCCCCCTCCAGCAGCTGTGGGATGCACTGCAGTCAGCAAGGCTCCAGATACCTGAGACAACCTACCAGGACTTTACTGAGCCACTCCCAGCCCGTCTGGCTGCTGTCCGTGCTGCACAGGGCGGTCACTCTGGATATTAGCTGGTGGTCATAATAATGACTCGATGGTGTAAAAGCCTGAACCCATTTCTCAGCATCTTGTACGGTTAGCATGTGTATATTTTTGTATATGTTTATTCTCCAGGGTATATTTTGGTTTGTCCATCTGAATTTACATGACCAAATCATAAGGCAAATTATTCAGTAACTGCATGAAATAAATGTACATTTTTATTTTATTATTTTTTTTTTGGTAAAAGCTCCCCTCAAATTTACAGAAAATGTGTTTTATGATCACACATATTGCTATATGCTTACAATTTACTGCTGAAAGCCAAAAATCTTAGACGCTCTTTGTATTTTTTTATAAAAATAATTTTTACAGAGCAGATCACTGAAGAGACGCCATCTGTTTATAGTTTACAGCCCAGATTTGTGAAAAATGGGTCGACTTTCAGTAGAAAAAAAAATTGTGAGTTCAGCTTTTTTTATTATAAGGGTTTAAAATTACATCACCCGTATATTTGACTGGAAAGAAGACAGTTACAGCTCTCATACGACCCCCACCTTTTGGATGTAGCTTATGAAATATGAAAGTTATGAAGAATATGACGAAAGTGCGCTATGGAACCACTGGTGATCTCAAGGAGTTGAAGAAGTTAAGTAATAAAACGCAGTCTTAGAGATATTACTGATATGAGACTCAAACTGAACTGGAAACCAGTGTCTTTAACTGTAGCTTTAGGTTACACTGAAAAACTATTAAAGTCAAGAATGAAATCTGCAACCCTATTTCAAGCGGACTTAGGACCCAACAGCAATACCTCTGTTTTATCAGAGTTTGGCAGGAGGTCATCCAGACATTTATGTCATTAACACAGTTGCAGTTTGTGCAACTGCGTCACTGAATCTGGCAGAACTGACACGTATAACTCATAAAAGTGAAAGCCAACACTGTGTTTATGGATTATGTATCCAGTGCCCATTTCATAATGGCTGATCATACTAAGTTCATACTTTCATTTACACTTCTATAGGGCTTTACTGGTGCATAGTGCAGTGTCTTATAAGTCATTCCCCAAGAATTATGTAAATGAAATGGACAATAAAATATTCTGAAAAGCTAGACATCCCCAAACTACTGACACGCAGTGTGTGTGTAAGTGTATGTTCATCTGTAAGAGTTTGCTACTCCAAGTTAGGTCTCTCTCTTACCTTAAGGAAAGTGTCAAACTTCTTGATGTCTCCACACAGCTGGGACAGATAAGAAACGAAGCAGAAGCCTTTCTCATAGGTGAACAGATTCATTAGACTACTGGGGTTAACACCTGGGTAGAGGGAGAGAGAACACAACGCATTACATGAATCAAAAGTTCAACACATTTGCAATGCCGTAAAAAAAAGTATTTGCCCTTGATTTTCTTCTGTTTTTGCACATCTGTCACACTTAATTGTTTTAGATTTTCAAAAACATAATGTAAGGACAAAGACAACACAAAGTAAACACAAAATACAGTTTTTATATCATCATCTCACTTATTAAAGAGGAAAAATAGTTATTCAACACCAACAAGCCCTGTGTAAAAAAAAATAATTGCCCATTTGGTTATTAACCATTCAGTTATTAAGACCACTGGGATCAATTAAACTAGACGCACAACGTCCCGACTTGAACCCCATCGAAATGTTAAGACAGATGCTCAAAAGCCCCCCAAATGTGGCTGAACTGAAGCAATTCTGAGTGGGCCTGAATTCCTCCATGGCGATGTGAAAGACTGATCTTCAGTTATGGGAAGCGACTGGTTGGAGCTGTTGCTGCTGAAGGTGGCACAACCAGCTATTAAGTTAAGGGGGCAATTATTTTTTCACACATCACATGGGTGATATCAGTGTTGCAAAACCATTTTCCTTCAATAAGTGACATGATTATGAATTAAAAACAGTTTTTTGTGTTTCCTTGTCTTTTTTTACATTCTGTATGATGTTCTGAACCCAAGGCGAAAATAGAGGGAAACAGGAGGGGTCAAATACTTTTTCACGGCATGGTATTATGAACCCCCTGGTGATGCGTTAGTGTTTTAAAAAATTCAGAATGGGATATTAGCATCTTCTCAAAGCCATTTCCGAAGTAGCTCAATATAAGATGAGTGAGAGTACGCCTCTCGGCGTAGTTAGGAAAGTTATGCATGGCTGAAGCTACCTGGCTCAAACTTGGCCTGCAGCTTGCTCACAGGGTTGTTGTCTCCTAGGAGACGCATCTGTCTGTGCAGAGCGTCTAGACGAAACACCGTCTCCAGACAGGTGAGGGCCTCTCCTGCAAAGACAAAAATCAATGAAGAGAAAAAGGGAAACTACTTTTGAAGAACTTCACTGTTTTTACGAGTTTGCGAACACCAGAACAGAACACAGCGCCCAAGAGCACTGGTGTGACTGTGTTTTAGGTACTTCAGGTTTTATCAGATGACTGACCGGTCACTAAACCACACCTGCTTGTTTCTACACTCCATACAGAAGCACTTTGTAGTTCTACAGTTACAGACTGTAGTCCATCTGTTTCTCTGCATACTTTGTTAGCCCCCTTTTACCCTGTTCTTCAGTGGTCAGGACCCCCATGGACCCTCACAGAGCAGGTACTATTTGGGTGGTGGATCATTCTCAGCACTGCAGTAACACTGACGTGGTGGTGGTGTGTTAGTGTGTGTTGTGCTGGTCTGAGTGGATCAGACACAGCAGTGCTGCTGGAGTTTTTAAACACCTCAGTGTCACTGCTGGACCGAGGATAGTCCACCAACCAAAAACATCCAGCCAACAGCGTCCTGTGACCACTAATGAAAGACTAGAGGATGACCAACACAAACTGTGCACCAACAGATGAGCTACTGTCTCTGACTTTACATCTACATTGTGGATCAACAAGGCAGGAGTGTCTAATAGAGTGGACAGTGAATGGACACAGTGTTTTAAAACTCCAGCAGCACTGCTGTGTCTGATCCACTCGTACCAGCGCAACACACACTAACACACCACCACCACATCAGTGTTACTGCAGTGCTGAGAATGATCCACCACCCAAATAGTACCTGCTCTGTGAGGGTCCATGGGGGTCCTGACCACTGAAGAACAGGGTAAAAGGGGGCTAACAAAGTATGCAGAGAAACAGATGGACTACAGTCTGTAACTGTAGAACTACAAAGTGCCCCTATATAGTAAGTGGAGCTGATAAAATGGACAAACAGCAGCAGATTCAGCACGTGTGTGCATGTGTTAAGGGGGCCTTTCAGCCTAAAAAAAAGAAAAAAGAGTTTAATATGTTATTTGTCATGTCATGAAGTTACACAGCATTGCATCTGTCTGCCTTTTCTGTCTGGCATAAATTAATGACTCATATAATATTCATTCATAAATGTTCTCTCACTACAATACTCAGCATGCATTACACAAATAAGTTACACAACAACTGACTGATAGTCTAGCCACTAAAAATATCTGTGTCTACAGTTGTTGAACAAAATGGTAAAGAAAGCATCAATTCTATCTGTGTTCAGCACGAAACGGATGTCAGAGACACATTTTTACCCTTTCAGACCGAGAAATGAAGTCAAACTGAGGTGTCTAGACTGCCATGTTGCTACTTTGCTAACTTTAGCTTTTAGCTTGTTGTCCTCTTCATCTGACCTTCATTTCTGTCATTTCAGTCGTCCATTCTATCCATCCTAATGATGATTTGAAGACCACAAGTAGATATTCAGCTTCCTAGCAGAAATCTGTCTTTCTTTTACATTCACCAGCTGATGAAAAAATTCCCCAAACATTTCAAACAGCCCCCAAAAATCCATCCCAAAGCAGCTGTGGTTTTTAAGTTCCTCCCACCTTCAAGATACACCTGAACAGGGGGTTTCCTAGGCTTTAAACTGGAAAATCCTCTGGAGACTATTGTGGCACCGCTGTAGGATGCGAGTAAGCATGTTTACAACAGATGTAGCGATGGTTTTGTTTTTCATTTTGGCCGGAACGCCCCTTAAAGTAAGAAAAACTACCCGCAAAAGTTCTGTTAGCTTAAGTCAGCATGGTACTCTGGGTATATTTAGCTTCAACGTTCAGCTTCATGTTCATCAAAGTGTCTACCACTGTATGAAGAGCAGGTTCTGCCTTTGTAAAACTTGTAAATTTAACGTGAGCTTTCTTTTCCAAACTATTACTAAAAGCACAGAACAAAACCTCGTATCTCCACAATGGTAACTTTACAGGAGGAAGAAAAAAAACATACTTTACTTTTAATGTAAGTCAATGGAACCAGAATTTTCTCCAAGCCATTTTGGGTCGTTTCTTTTGGTCTGTTTATCATGAAATTTACAAACAATGTAAAGAGCAACAGGTATTTTCAAATTATGTCAAAAACTGAAAAATGGAGATACGAGGCTTTGTTGCGACAGCAGCGATATGCTGAAACACAGACTGAACACCTGGAAGGTTTCAGTGCTGACGAGTGCCAACATCACAACATGTAAATAAAAATGCTTTTTTTTTTTATTTTATTTTTATGCCTGGCCTTTGCCATTATTGGTCTTTTTTTCTTTGCCAACTTTGGGCTTTTATCAGTCGTTCCTTCCGTTTTGCAGTTTTTGCAAATAAAAATGGTAAAAGCCAAACAACTTTTAATTTAATAGGTTAAAGCTGCACTACGTAAGATTAAGAGAATAAAAACAGGCTAAAATATGGTGAGCGTGTGCTGCTGAGAGTCGCCCCATAAAGCCTGAAATAATCATTTAAAAGTCAGAGGCATTGGGTCGGGGGTTCACGGACCACATCATACGTCTTTATGTCACACACACAGATTCAAAAAGAAGGTCTGGCTCGATGTTCAGGTCTCAAATGCAAAATCAACATTAAACTGATGAAGATGTGATGACAACAGTACATAATTCACTCACATCCTCAGAAAACACATCCTTCAAGTTTTGAGTTCTCTTTGAATTCTCTTTCAGTCATCAGATTCATCCGCTTGGGAAGGGGTCTGAAGCACAACCCACGATATAAAATGCTCTTCCGCACCTTGTGGGCCATTACACATTTCCCCCAGAGAGGTCTCCAACACCCCAAAACTTACATAGTGTAGCTTTAGGTTATTATTATTATTATTATTGTTGTGTTGTCGCAAATCAATAAAGAAAACATGACCAGGAAATCTAGCTGTCCTAAAACCTTTGATTAGTCGTGTATGCGTGTACCATAGGCCTCTGTAGTGATTCGTCTCTGTGCGTAGGTTGCCAGGCCCTCGCTGAGCCACATCTCCTCCCAGGTGGCGTTGGTGACGGCGTTCCCGAACCAGCCGTGAGCGATCTCGTGGATGACGTCGATCAGCAGGAACTCCTGACTCTCCAAGATGGAGGAGATGATGAAGGTCAGACATGGGTTCTCCATCGCCACGATGGGGAAAGAGGGGGGCAGGAACACAATGTCGTACCTGCAGGAGAGAAAGACAGGCTTTTTCACTGATAATACAGAGGGCTAAAGTACAGTAATACAACAATAACCGCACCTTTATAAGGTAACGATAAAATCTTTATTGAGTACTGGCACACCAATAGGTGCCAAATCCATTCAGGAAATACAGAAGCACAGTTCAATTCTGTAATCTTGTGTTCCAATAAACAAGCTGTAGTTGATCGTGTGTTAGAAACACGGATAGAAGGACACTGACCTCCCCCATACGTAAGGCCCAAACAGCTCCTCGGCCACATTGAGGCAGCGCTCCACACTGCCCCCGAGCTTACTGACCGCACAGGTCAGAACACAGCGCTCAGCCCACACACGGCTCCTGTAAAAAATCCCCACCAGGATTAAAGGAACAGTTTGAAAAATATATATATCTTACACAATTTCCTGTCACTCCAAAAGAAAAGTGTAGCTTCGAAATGCATTAAAAGCCTTTTTCATTGGGAGTGAGCTCTACAGTCACAAAACATTTCCGTACACACACATAAACATGGCATAGGTGAGAACATACGCTGTCATGAGTTGTCACAACAGATTATGTCCAGTAATATAACAATGCCATGTTACCGCTACCATTAATTATCATAGTAGGTGTCCTAGTGTTAACGTCATGACAGCTTCTGCTGCACAAGTACCCTAGTTAGCAGTCATAACATCAAACATTAAGACATCTGTCATGGCAATTACTGGAAATGGTGACATGGTTCCCCAAGTGACACTTGGCCCCTTGGAACTGAGTTACAAGGGGTAGTGGTTGAAATCTTCCCCTACGAAATGGGACCCTCACATAAAAGAGCATTACTTCATTAACAGCTGGTCTGTGTTTAGGTCAGTTCTTGTTTTTGATTGTGCTGCGGGAAAACATCTTTATAAAGCAAACGCTTCTTTATTAAGCCTTGCAATGAGTGAAATGTGTGGCTGGTGTTTGTTTATGCCAATTTGACGAAAATGAATCACACAAATTGGAGAAGTTGTTGATCTGAGAAGATCCATTTAAAATAGCTTTGTTTTTCCAATATCTTGAATAAATAACTCTCAGGATTAGTACAAAATCCTGTTGTATCAAAGAAGAGCTACCTGAGTTATCCACCCGGAAGTTCTTCGCTGTTGTGACGTTATGCTGATTTGTCCTTTTTATGGTTATGGCATGGTTATGTCAATGTTATGTAGCAAGTACTGTGTTACTGTAATTTCAGTGCTATATTATGACATTACAATAATTCTTCATTACAGTTTTTTTGTGTTAAATTGAGGTTTTATTAGAATTTTATGTGTAATAGCATTGTGCGTTTTGGAATGAAACTTCTCAAATGAAGCCTGAATTTTGTCTGTTCTGTGTTTACAGGTGACACTATTTAACGCAGTGTCAGAAACAACATAAGCAAATCTATTCGTTTGCTGAAAAACTTGACATGGTTTGAGGCACGAATGTGATGCAATTAGTACAGTGCTAATTGGTGGGGAACAAGCTTCCACTACTTGTTAGCAAAATCATTATTTTAAAATTATTTTTGGAATTATTTCAATCGCTGTTGTCAGTATAAACCACCAGTTCTGATTAGTTAATGATGGACCAATAGAAATGGTCAAAAAAACTCTTATAATAAAATATTTTTACATTAAAAGAAGTTTATTTCCCCCAACTCTTCTCTAAAGTTTCTATTTTGCTTTTGCTCCAACAGCATCATGACCTCCTCTTCACACTAACCTGGGCCCGATGTCAGCGTGCTGTAGGTCTCCGGCCACCAGGGCCACCAGGTATGCCGGGACAGGATACTCCATAGAGAACTGAAACAGCCGGTCCTGCTTAGAATACGCACTTCTGGAGGCACTCATCAACACTGTCACTCCATCTGGAACCTGTCAGGAAACGCCACACACACACACACACAAACACACAATACAGCAGAAACTGAGAGGATCGTATCAGCGCTCAGTGTGATGATATGAGAAGTGTGAGAAACACTGAGTAGGATGAGCCACTAAAAAGAGGTTGAAAAGTTGAAAGGAGATCAAAAAAGAAGACGACGCATTAAGAAAGTGAAACTTAAGATGTGGTTTAGTTATTTACAGTAAATAAAATGCTGTCTTGCAGGGCTGCACAAATAATCATATTTTCATATTTTCATCTGAAGATTTCTGGCTTCTTCAGTTAAAACAGTTGACTGCAATATTGGTGCACTTAACTTTGTTAGCTTAGTTAGCAGTTAGCTAACTGCCCAACGTTAAGATATTGTTATTTTACTGGCTGTTAACTTTATTGATTTTTTTTTACATCATATTTTTGCATTTCTGGCTAAATCTTAAGGCATAATGTGACTGTCTTTACTGTGTATGACTAATCTTTTCTATTTGCATGCTGTGGTGGCCTTTATTTATTTTGAGTCTCATTTTGTTTGCATTCAGCATTCAAATAACACACAACATTAATATGATTTCATTTATATATTTGATGGACTATATGAAAAATAAATTGTTGATATAAAAGGATGAAGTACAAATAAAACTATTTTGTTTAAAATGAAGCTGAATAACTACGATAAATAATTTCAATATTGAGCAAGACAATCATTATCATTTTGAGCATCTCTGCTAGATTAGGAGTTTTATTAAAAAGAAATTTCAGATTTTTTCATTGCTGAGATATAAATAAAATAATTAAGTGGTTTAATGTGAAACGCTCCAATTATGGTACCTGCACTACTTTACCATCTTCAACACTACATACAAAAACTCGTGTAGGTTCACTGGTGGTTTTGGATCGTAAATAAAATGGATATATTTGTGTTGTAGTCATGGTGACCCCTGGTTTCTATCATCACGACTGAGTCAGTAAATGTCTCTACAATGAACCACATCAAACCACTCTGAATGACTTTGTTTACATCTCAATAATTTATGCAGAAATTTTGAATAAAACAGTGGATTTCCCCTTTAATGATTAGTTAAAAGTGAGATAAATAAAAAAATACATAATAGATGTGATCATCTTTTAATTGTACTCACCCTGACGGTGGCCGAATAGGTGCTTTTGACAGCCGGAGTGTCGAAGCAGGGAAAAAAGGAGCGATTGCACACGGAGTGACCCTGAGTGAAAACCAATGGTCGTGTCTGCCCGCATGTTAGCTCTGTGTCCAGCCACCAAATCTGAAAGAAAGACCAGGAGAGGATTAGAATAGGAAGGAACTAATCAAACTACTGTCAACTGCACAGATATCTCAGGACACTGTAATATGCAAATGAGCCACCTCACAACGTTAATGTTTACTGTGTGCTCTGAGCGTCCTGACCAATCAGTTCCAGACGAGCTTCTGTGCCTGTTTTGATGAATCGAGTCATTAATCTGATCCAACAAATGTAAATTATGGTTTAAATTAAGGTTTTCACTATGAAATGCATATGAAATTGTGATGAACAATCATATACACACAATTTCTAACAGCAAACATTTAACTGTACTTGATCTACTCAAATTCTGTAGCTACAAATACGTGTGCATTAGTGAGCTCCTGCTGGTGTGGGTTTCCTCTCTTTCAGTGATTCATGCAAAAGCAATCTGAGTGCTAATAACTCCCCCTTGTGGAGAACATTGTTACTGCAGATCACAGCTGTATAACAACCTGCAGATCGCTATAAAATTAAAAATCACTGTTTTAAAAAATCAAGTAATGAATTTAAATCAAGACACCTTGACAGCCCTAGTTAAAATAATGAAGGCCAACATTTAACCCTTATACTTTTGCAAGGTACACTTGCATAAAGGGCTCTAGATAGTACCAAAAAGTTTTTTTGGCTCATGACAAGAGCAGAACTCTTTTTAAAGGGTTCTTTAACGAACCTTGTACAACAGTTTTCCATCACAGAGACGAACCATTTAAGCATGCAAAGAACTATTTATGCATTCAAAAGGTTTCGTCACGCTTCTACAGTCATATGCAAACTTCTGAACGTGCTCTGGTCAAATTACATTTTGTTGACTTATAAATGAAAATGAGTTCACTCGTCCTCTACAGGGAAGGAAAGCGGTATTTTTATGCTAATGTTATGCACAATTTATATTTATTTGCTTTGATTAGGAAAAATATTGGAAAAAATGAAGGCATAAAACATGGGCCATAACTGGAAGTGGGCGATACAGCAAAAATGTAATATCACGATACCTGTAAGTTTTCACAATACTCGATATGACACGATATATGTTTTTTTCTGACATCTGATAAGTTAGAACACACAGGTAATGCCATGTTTTAAAAAAAAAACCTAACAAAAACTATAATTACAATAGATTATATTCATCATTTCACATATTGGGCTGCACCAAATCCAATTAAATGACTACTTTTGCTCTCTTTCTAATGAGACAATATCCACAATATGCTCAGAAAGGCATATTATGACATATTGTGACATATTTATCACAATCACAATGAATATTGTCATACTGCCCAGCCCTAGCCTTGTCTTCTGCCACATTTTTGTTTTATTTTTGTACCAATATGCTAAATTAAGCACATAATCATTGTGCCTTACAATATGCAGAAGTGTGTTCTCTGTAGAGGACGTGTTCACTTTTTTGCACACGACTGCAAGTAAGTAAGAACCAAAGCGTAATTAAGCCTAATCTACTGCAGTGCTAATGGTGCTTCACCAGCGAAAAGTATTTTATTTTATTTTGAAAAGTATTTTATTTTATTTCAGTTCAGTTTAATCCAGTCCTGGGAAACCACAAGGAAAACAAGTAAAGCAGATATTTGGCTCGTAATTCAGCTCTACAGAGAGACGAAAGACTCCGCAGTCTTTTTGAGGGAACGGTTGTGGTCTGTATGCGGAGAGAGACAGGGGGGCACAAAGAGGGAGCCCACAGTAAATATGAGCTGGTGCCTCCCTGGCAGTCCCTTCAGTGTTTTTCTATGTCACTTTTCAAGCTTTTTTTTTTTAACACTGAGTTCTAATTGGTTAGTGCCTTTTTAAGCCCAGCCCCAGGACTGACCCTGAAACTAGGTCGACTTAGCTTTCCAGGAATGCGTTGGTGTCGTCAAAATCACGGCCTGAGCAGCTCAGTTCTCAGTAATTTGCTAAAGGAACACGTCAATCCAACTCACCCTGCTGTCAAACATGGAACCTTATCTACAAGCCTGTATTTGTTGTTCTGAGTCTAAATGCTGTGCCACCTGAAATATTAAGATCAGAATGACACTAACTGTTCTTTTTAAAGGTTAGTGTGAGCTACATTTAGTCGTGGGATGAAACCTTGCACTGACTGATACGCTCTGAACAATAGCCATGTGCCACGCTGTTATTAATAGCAGGCATTAATGTCACATTGTCCGCCATGCAGCTGTCTCCCCTTCGCCCTTACCGCAGGCCCATCTGTGGTAGTGTAGCGAATGGTGACCCGGAAAGCCCGGTGCGGCCGGATCACGGCAGCAGGTAGGGTGATGTTTAGGGAGGAACCGTAGTCGGTGAAGGGTTCGACCCGGTAAGAGAGGGAGAGGAAGTGATCGGGGCCGCCGGACGCCCCAGGCACTTTGCAGTCAATGGAATGGATCAATAAAGAGGGGTGCGTGTCCAGTATCAGCGACCGGACGCCCGGCTGAACGGGCACCAGCTCCAGGACCTGCCAACCGGTCATCCTCTTTAGAGCGAAGTTGATGTTGAGGTCCAGGTGGAAATGCCTCAGTCTGAAGCTGTGGAAGTTGGAGGCAGAGGCCACATCCACCAGGTGACACTGGCCCAAAGCCCGGGGCGCCTCAGTGGGCTTAGTGGGCACGGTCAGCACCTTCCGACAGCAGCACAGTGTCGGGCGCTGCAGATCGGCCATGGCGGTTCTGAGTGGGCCAAGAAAGGGTCGAAAAAACAACCAATAATGATAATATGTGTTAAAGAAAAAAGGTCACACAAAAAAGCAAAGTCACAGATTCAGTCATAGTCAAGTGGAAAGATTCCTATGGACTTTCTGCATGGCTGCTTTGGTTAAAAAGTGGTCGAGCTCAGCCTGTGAAAGTAGAAAAGATGTTCCAGAGATGTTCCAGAGACGTTCCAGTAAAAAAACACAGCCACAAACAAGCAAACAGGCAAACAAGCAAACAAATCTACGTGAAATCCATCGAGTTCAAGTGAGTCCAGCGGCTGATCCCCCATTAAAAGCGTGTATAAAAACGCAGAAATACGTTTCCAATAAGATGTCCCGCCGGTTTGGTGCGAAACTAAAGAAAAGCGAGAGAAAGAGAGCAAAACCGAAATGAAAAAGTGTGTTAAAGACCTCCTCAGAAAACAGGAAGTGAACAGTCGGGGAGGAAAGCAAAGTTTGGCAGCCGCTAGAGGCGCTGCGGAGCCAGCCGGGGCAGAGTGAACCCAGCCGGGCTGCAAACCGGGGCAAAACAGGGACAAAATAGGAACAAAACTGGACCAAAAAGCCACAAAACACCACGAATCTACAAATATAGAGGCTAAAGTAGAGCCCCTCCGAACGGACGCGTCCCAATCGTAATCATAGTGCACTAAGTGAGTTGGCCACGTTAGGAATCCGGCACTGACACTGTGAGCTAGGTTAACTATGCTAGTCAGTCAAAAGTCTCTTCACAACTCCGCCGCTGCACGTAAAAAAACGGGCCACCGCCGTCTGTCACACTGCTCCTCTAGTCGTGTTTTGTTTCCCTTACTGTCCTGGACCTGTTCGGACTGTCCTTCACTCGTCCACAGGCAGAGAAGTGTTGTTGTTTGGGAAGGGAGGAGTCTGTTGCTACGAATTGGTCGGTTTCCGGGGCGGTGTTCCGAATCGCGCTCGGTCAGAGCAGTAGTGCACTATAAAGGCTGCCTGCTGTTGACCATGGATATACATACCTAGATGCCGCGTTGAGTCCAGGCAGGCACGTCAACGGCACCGCCATTTTAGGGCGGTCATCGTCGCTGCTGTACTGCATTCAGTACCGTTACAGAGCGGCAGTTTGAGAAAGATACTGTCCAAAATTACACTGTTTCAAGAATATTGCTCTCAGAAAGTAGGATAGGATTATATAACGGAGGGAACGCAGTGATCCACACTCATATTTGTGTGATGCGTATTGTTTGTGTGATGTTCAGATATGGCCGTGTGGTTGGTGACGCGCAGAGAACCTGTTAATGTGATTGTTTTTCCTCTGGATTTATATTAAGCTTATTTCATTTAATAAGCCTTAAACTCCTTAATCCGTGTAGATATTCATAATAGATTAGCACCTTATTGCACAAACCTGAAGTTAGGTTCTTATTTGCCATCTTCTTGTTCAAATCTTCCCGTTCCACCTTAAATGGTGCAGCTTCAGGCACCCGAAAGTGACTGCTGCACCATTTAAGGTGGAACGGGAAGCCAACTTCAGCTTCGTCGTTCTGTGTGTAAAGATTAGAAGTGATTCACACATTGATGGATTTGCTGATTGTGTTTTTACCGGAGCGCTAAACTCACGTCAGGTTCAGACTGAATACTTTCCTGCTGGTCCGGACGGCTAATTAGCACGATCAGTTAATAAAAAAAAATAAAGGCTACCCAGAGCAGATCCGTGCAGCCTGGATTAATCTGTGTTTGAGGATTATAACAAAACAAATTCGGTAAAAATCGTTTGAGTAATAAGGAGGTTGTGGCTGATTTAATCCTGAGACTCATCATTTTTCAATACAAGTGAATTTGTTCACAAGTGGATCTCGACCGCTCCAACATGGCGGACGTGCAGACGTATCACCTCAGATAGAGAACAACAGGCAACGCGGCATCTAGATGTATATCTTTGGTGTTGACGGCCGCAAATGTAAATGGAGTGATAAACGACCGGTCAGCGTTTATATCTAAGCTGAATTTGAGCATTACATGGTTGCTTTGTGTTCTTCTTGTAACAAATCAGCACTTAAACTGCTGAACGTGTACAATGAGATTGTTAGCTAATATTTTCATACTTGTTTTTTAAACCCCTGAACGTTATTTCTTTTAATTGGTTGCTGCCCATTACGTCTTTGTATAGTGTGTGTCGATGGGTTAATATAAAAAAGGGGTCAAATTCTCTAGTGTAGCAGTGAGGAGCAGTAAAGCTGACTCCCCTTTAGTCCCACAGTGACCTGCGAATTGTACCACATGTTCACACCGGTGGTTTTGGTGGGTTTGTAAGCACCTCCATTACCAAACACTGCGGTACAACTTATATCCCGCAGTTCATTTTGGAAATATTGGGCAAGAATCATAACAAAGTCTGTAATTCAAAGATATGATACACATCTGCACACCCGCAGTCTTTTCCTAAATTGTATAAATAATATGTCACACAAGTGAGCACTTCAGAGAAAAGCACAACCCACAAGTGTGCATCGTGCTACAGACGATGGCTGTGCTCCAATATGTGCACTTGTGTATAGAATACTTTGCCAATGCATGTTTGTGTTCTAGAATGCATTGCTAGTGCTTGTTTGTGGTCTAGAATAATTTGCAATTGCATGCTTGAGTTTTAGAATGCATCCCTAATGCATGTTTGTGTTCTAGAATCATTTCCTAGTGCATGTGTGTTCTAGAATGCTTTGCTAGTGCATGCATGAGTTGTAGAATGCATCGCTAGTGCATGTTTGTATTCTAGAATGCATTGCTGGTGCCTGCTTGTATTCTAGAATCATTTGCTAGTGCATGCCTGAGTTCTAGAATGCACCACTAGTGCACGTTTGTGGTCTAGAATGCATTGCTAGTGTATGCATGTGTTCTAGAATGCATTGCTGGTGCATGCTTGTATTCTAGAATCATTTCCTAGTGCATGCTTGAGTTCTAGAATGCATCGCTAGTGTATGTTTGTGTTCTAGAATGCATTGCTGATGCATGCTTGTATTCAAGAATCATTTGCTATGCATATGTGTTCTAGAATGCTTTGCTAGAGCACACGTGTTCTAGAATGCATTGCTAGTGCATGTGTTCTAGAATCATTTGCTAGCGCACGCTTGTGTTCTAGAATGCATTGCTAGAGCACACGTGTTCTAGAATGCATTGCTGGTGCATGCTGTGTTCTAGAATCATTTGCTAGCGCACGCTTGTGTTCTAGAATGCATTGCTAGAGCACACGTGTTCTAGAATGCATTGCTGGTGCATGCTGTGTTCTAGAATCATTTGCTAGCGCACGCTTGTGTTCTAGAATGCATTGCTGGTGCATGCTTGTGTAAGCAGTAATCCTCAGTTGATGTTTTTATTTACCAGTTTGTTTCTCCACTGTATTCTGCTGGTTCTTGGTCCATTTGGACTTTAACTCGCCACTTTATTGTGACTTGTTAATAAAATATCGAATTCATCTGTAAGTCGTAGTTTTGCCTCCCTCGCCGGGTCATTGCTGGGTTACTGAGACGGATTAATCTGGAGTGTAGCATACAAACCTGTGTTGTTTCATTGGCCGAGTTAGCTAGATAGGGCATAGGGAGGGAGTGAACGAGTGAGCCATTCGGTATACAGCCTGGAACCCAGAAGGCGGGGTTTAATGAAACGCCCGCCTCCAAAGGCGAGCATGTGAGCTCACGGTCATCCGCGACGAATGAGGTGAGAGAGAAAACGCTGAATGTACATCCATCATATTATCGCTCACTTATGCAGAATATAAAATAAATAAATAATTAAACAGCCTTATTTCAAATTCGGCACCTCTGCAAAGGTGCAGTCCAGCTTATTGAACCCCCAGAGGTGAGTATTTACTCAGTTATATAAAATTATATATATATTTGAGTGCATTCAAATGGTGAATACATACATACATCTTAAAGGGTTCTTCATTAAAATTAATGGTTCTGTTTAGAACCATGACTAATACACAGAGCATGCAAGCATGAAATGGTTCTGTATAGGACTTAACCATTCTGTTTCTAAAGAACCCTTGAAGTAACATCTTTAAGAGTGTATATTTGCTAGGAAATGCTAACACTTTCTGTGCAGCTACATTTTCCCAAACTAATTCCTTTTTTAGGTTTAGTTTTGTTCTGTTGTCTGTTCCGCTTTGCTGTTGCTCTCACTTCTCATTTTGGAGCTTCGACATTTTATTTTAGACCAACAATGTCCCAAGAAAGGGGAAAGTAGGGCCTGATAAACCTCACTTCCTGTGCTGATAGATGCTGGATGCATGAAGAAGCTCCATTATAGTTCTGTAGGGGAATTTAGAACTTTTTAGCTGGTGTTTTTGAGTTTAGACCGTGCCTTTAACATGGCGGTGGTAGTATGAGGGAGGACTGATTGAGGGAGGGGGAGAACTCTGAGAACTTGGGCTGGAGTTCTGGGCAGCTCCTGACTGTATCTAGAAGGCCGGACCCTCATAGCTGATGTAGGACTGAGGAACAGGGATGAGATGGGTTGGTGGTGGGGATTGCGAACACTTCGTCACAGGAACGGAAGATGAGGATGTGAATTTATAGGGCGATAGATTGGAAGCAGGAGGGGTTTCAGCCATGCTCCTCCCCCAAACTTCAGTTCTAACTACATTTGCTTTGATTTTGAGCTGGATTTTGGTACTTCAGTCGTTAACCCACTGCAATGACAGCACATTGTATTTTGTATCTACTCTATTATTTGCTGGATTCCACAGAAGAACCAATTTTAGTTCCCTCAATGCAAAAAATAGTATCTTGTCAAGAAGAATTATCTTAAATCTAGTCGATATATCCAGTATGTCTCCTGTTGAGATTGTTGTAAGCTTATTTTAAGATTATTAAACTTTACAAACATTTTTACTCATTTTAAGTGATTTTGTTAAGTAAAATTGTCACTATATTGGCAGATAATTGTGCTCGTTTTAAGAAGTGAGCGTAGCCTCTTATACCCCTTGAGACCACCGTTGGTGCCAAAACACACTTCGTCATATTGTTTACTTCACAACTTTCATATTTCATAAGCTACATTCAGAAGGTGGGGGTCGTATGAGAGCTGTAACTGTCTTCTTTCCAGTCAAATAGATGGGTGATGTAATTTTAAACCCTTATAATAAAAGAAGCTGAACTCAGTTTTTTTTTCTACTGAAAGTCGACCCATTTTTCCACAAATCTGGGCTGTAAACTATAAACAGATGGCGTCTCTTCAGTGATCTGCTCTGTAAACATTATTTTTATAAAATAATACAAAGAGCGTCTAAGATTTTTGGCTTTCAGCAGTAAATTGTAAGCATATAGCGATATGTGTATGATCATAAAACACACTGAGGGGAGCTTTTACCAAAAAAAATAAATAACATAAAAATTTACATTTATTTCATGCAGTTACTGAATAATTTGCCTTACAATTTGGTCATGTAAATTCAGATGGACAAACCAAAATATACCCCGGAGCATAAGAGGTTAAAACAAGCTGAACTGTCTGCCAGTTTAGTTTATAATATAATAATTTTACTTAATAAAGTTACTTAAAACAGGTAAATACTGTCTAGAAATGGGCTAAATAATATTATAATAAGGACACAACCTTCTCAAAATAAGAAATATTACATAAATTCACTAGAATTAAGAATTTCACTTGACAAGACACTATTTTTTGCAGTGCTGAAAACCCTTCAGTGGATGTTCTTTCAGTGGAGAACCAATGTCAAGTTCTCTGAATTAGTCATGAAGCCCTTGCCGACTAGCTGACGAGTAGCGTTCAATGAGGCGGACCGAAGTCTGCAGTGCACGAGGACTAGAGTGTGACACGTGTTCTGTGGCGTCACTCAAAGGAGCCTTTGTGGAACCTTTTTAGGAGTGTAGTGTGATGTTCAGGGCCTGAGGCTGTGAAAACTTAAGAGACTGTAAAAGACGCGCTAGTAAGAGCCAGTTATTTTAAGACAGGGCCGAGGACTGCAGTGTGGGGGATGGAAAGCAAATAATTCTGTGGTTAAGGACTCGAGGGAGCGCACTATTTAGTGACTAATGTAGGCATCACTCTCATCTTTGCTCATAATTCATAAGGAGCAAACACACAAACAGAAGTGATAAACCTAAAATATTTATTTTATTGACACAACAGAGAGTTTTATCCTCTCCTCTGCTCATCAAGGCAATTAAGAAATCATGCTAAGGCTATGGAAAGTAATGGAAACGACAGATTGACAGACTTTTCTCCAGGATCTGCTGAGGAGGCATGTACAAAAACTGATTCACCTTCAACCAGACAACAGATGACCTTCACCACCTGATACAGGAGTTTCATTCTGATTCATTCAGAGGGGTCACTTTTCACAGCTTTGCTGTGATGGACCCATATTAAGGAGGCAAAAAAAAGAAGAAAAAAAGAAAAAGCGTGCTCTGACCAAAAAGAACTTGGTCCATTATAGATACACAGATTGTGCTTAAAAGCATCTTTAAAAGAGGGGAAAAAGGAAGAAAACAGTCAGAGATGCACCAACAGAGGGGGCTGGTGAGTCTTCTTTCTGTGTGAAAGTGCAAAGACAAGCCAAAAAACATCCGGGATGATAAAAATAGGTACATCATCGGATAAAATGATAATAATACTAATAATAATAATAAAAATAATAATAATAAACAAAAAAATCAGAAGGTAGAGGCAAAATGTAACAGTGGAAATAGGCTGTACATGTACAAGGCCTCTTTGCTAAAAATGAGACTGTATCCTTGTTGTGTGAAGCAAGGATTCAGCGAATAAGCAGCACTGTTTTAATTCTACTTAAAAGTCCCGTCTACTCAGTGCCATCGAACTAAAATATCAAAATATCCCATGGACAAAATCAGAGGTTCAAGTCACGAGATGTCACACACGTACTGAAGTCAAGTAGGCAAAAATAAAGTTTCTTAACATTAATGGTTATGATACAGTGTACATGAGACGTTACATACACAAACAGAGCCAGTGCAAAAAAGAAGGACTCTGCGTACACCCTTTTTCCCCCAGTGTAAATATAGAATCATATATGTATAGATATATATACTCTATGAAACAACACCAGTTCGCATGAATGGAGCTACATGAAAACCGATGTCCTCGTTTATATATATATATAATGCAAAACATTATTACAGTATCAGTGTTTGGTGACCTGACCATTTCAGCTGACGATTAGTACGTTTGAACAGACATGTTCAGCGGACAGTCTATGACTCAGTCTCCATGGAGACACAATATTGCCCCTCCGCAGACTAGAGGGGGTGACAGTGAAGCACCAATGGCTGGACTATTCAGTGAAGTATGTTCCCCTCTATCCTAATGAGCGCGTGCTTTCAGCCTCTCACGGAAATCTTGTTCTCCACCGCGGCCAGCATGGCGCAAAATCTGGAGTTCTCGTTGGCCAGCAGTCTGGACGGCTCGTCGAATTCCACCACCTGCGTCGAAACAGGACAGATTCGGTGTTAAAAATGACTCTTAGGAAATCCTTTAATCCTATTAACTGGGGAAAAAGCTGCCCCAACTGTGAGATGGTGAAGAGCTTTACTAATACAAATCAGCTGAATTTTAAATTGGGACTCAAAATCTGTGATTCAGGGCAAAATATACACAAGTTCCAGGTTACCTGGCCCTGGTTGAGCACCATAATGCGGTCACAACTGAGCACGGTGTGTAGCCTGTGTGCGATGGTTAATGTAGTGCAGTCTTGGAATGAATTACGAATCGTCTCCTGGATCAGAGAATCCGTCTCTGTGTCCATAGCAGCGGTTGCCTCGTCTAGGATCAGGACCTGGAGGGCAGAGGTCAAAGTCAGTATGAAGGTAAAAGGGGGAAGTGGAAAATGACATTCTTGGTGGCGAAATCAAAAATCAGAAGATTACAGGCGAAATTCTTTGTCTTTTAAAATATATATAAGACATGAGATGACATATAATCCATCCATCCATCCATCCATCATCTAAACCGCTTATCCTTCTGGGTCACGCTGGGGTGCTGGAGCCTATCCCAGCTGTCACTGGGCGGAAGGCAGGATACACCCTGGACAGGTCGCCAGTCCATCGCAGGGCATGACATATAATATGCCAGTCAAATCAATTATCAACCTTTATTTAAACTCATACAGTGTACACTGTATGAGAGTATATTGAGGGAGACTCTCGTTTACAATGTCACAGTGCCAGTTCAGAGATCAGGGATCAAGAAGTTACATAGTAAAAACATAACAAATGCTAAAAAGTAATAATAATCAAAGTAACAAGTAAAAAAAATTCAAATCAATCAACTATTAAAATTCCAATAATATAGTAACTTAATAAATAAGATAAAATAAGGATAAATAAACATATAATTAATGAAATAAATAAAGAAATAATAGATGTAAAACAATAACTGTGCTTAATATGGCCACACATGAAGTAACAGGGATAAAAAAATTCAGTATTGATTTGAAATGTCTTAAAAAGAGCACACAGGGGTTCTGAGGAATGACACTGTGATTATCACAGAGGTACTCACTATTTGTGTGATCACCATCCAGACGTCTGGAGATCTACCTTCCCACAGAACTGAGTTTCAAACTGATTGTTCCAAATAATAATTCTGGGTTTCGGCAGGAAAGCAGATCTCCAAAAGAGGAGGATTGATTTATACCGCTATACGTCATGACATAATCCCTGGTGGCCCCACAGAAGGACTTCAGGTTGACAAAACAAGGTAAACTCTGTTTATTAAAAACAGGGGGATATGATGGGATTTTTGAAAAAGCTCACCTTGCACTGTCTAAGCAGCACTCTCGCCACACACAGCAGCTGCCTCTCGCCCACCGAGAAATTCTCCCCGTTCTCTACAACCTCAGACTCCAACTTCAAGGGCAACTGAGACACCTGCACATGGAAAAGTGGACAAAAAATTACATATATGGACAGAGGAGAAAGAGAGAGGGTCCATTCATTGACTATGGAGGGTCTGAGTTTTGCCTGGTGACTTACACACTCCTTCATGTGCGTCTTCTCCAAAGCATCCCAGATCTGCTCCTCTGAATACTGGTTGAACGGATCAAGGTTTGATCTGATGGGAAAAAAAAATATCACAATATTTATATTGACTGAAAATTGTATAACAAACATACGAATAACATCAAATTACAACAAGAGGGAAATGGAGTATTTAACCCCCTAGGCAGGGGTTCTCAACCTTTTCCACCCCAAGGCCCACCTGTTTGTAACCGTACAGCATAGCGGCCCACAAAAACACTAAAATCAACTTTTTTTAAAATATTTTTTTTTCTTAATTGCTCACACTGAAAACCTGTGAATTAGCACCTAAAAAGATCAGATCGTCGATTTTACTTCAGTCACAAAAACCTAAATTTGTAGTCATGTTAAAAAACCTTATATTTGCAGAGATGTCAAAAAAGAAGAAAAAGAAAAAAGATGGATTGTGATTTAGAGCTGCAGTCCATTGCGTTTTCACTGCAAACACTCTTGTGGCTCCCACAGGAGTCACTGTTTGGTCTGGAGTCTCTTTAGTTTTGAGGGTTTTAGGGCCTCATTTGAAATAAACCCACTCCACTCAGTGGGCTTTTGGATCAGCGTCATCACAATCAACAATAATAATAATAATGATCCTTACATGATATCTGCTTCCGAGACCCACGGGTTTTGCCTAACTGGCATCTGATGCAGACCCGAATACGTGTGGAGTGTTTAAACACATCGAAACGGAGCGAACTAAAGAAAAAAAACCAGTCCACAGCGAACAAAGTAGGAGAAACACCCTGAGGAACCTCTCCATCTCTGGCTAACTCTGCACTGTGCGCCCGCGGCTGCGTCGTCTCAAACTGATGACGTTTAATTATCTTGCGACTGCGGTGTTTTATTTATACATCTCTACCAGCCCACTACGAACGACTGTCTCCCCCTGAGTTCAGGCCCACGGACCTCTAGAAGGTGCTCCACGGCCCACTGATGGTCCGCGGCCCACAGGTTGAGAAACCCTGCCCTAGACTACAGATTCATTAAGTTATCAATCTTTAGACTTATTATTTAGCAACTACAGTGGCGCGAGGTTAAGGTTAGGGTTAGGAGTAGGGCCAGGGTGAGGGTTAGGATCAGGTTTTGGGTTGAGGTTAAGGTTAGGGTTAGGATTAGGGCCAGGGTGAGGGTTAGGTTTTGCGTAATGGGAGTAACATATTAACAAAACATCTAATTAATGTAAGTAATGTATCAACAGAACATCTACAAGATATTTACTTCAATGTATTCAGGTGCTTCACTGCTGCTACTTCACTAATATGTTGTTGATGTGTTACTGATAATCTGTTAAGAGTTTATTAATCACCTACAAAGGACACTCCAGATAAAGTGTTACCATAACTACTATGAATTACTCGGTAAGTACTATCCTATGAGCAACTGAAATGGGGACCCACATATGGTCTAAAGGGGCTCATGTAGTTCTAAAACTGTAACAACTCCTCAGAGGATGAATGGACAAAAAGAAAAGTAGAGCACTTACCTTACAGTACCACTAAAAAGCACTGGTTCCTGCGGTATGATGGAGAGCTTGCTGCGTAAGTCAGCGAGGCCAATGTCACAGATGTTGACACCATCGATCTTAATGCTGCCGCCACATGGCTCCACCAGACGGAAGAGAACCACTCCTAATGAGGACTTCCCTGAAGGATAGATCAGACACGAGAGCTTACGTAACATACAGCAGCATGGGCTTTGTGTCTGGGCTAGAGACACTGACTGCAGACTAATAAGGGACCGCAGACTAATAAGGGAAGACATCTCCACTGTTTTCGCTAGACCTGTCATCATCATGAAATATTAGCTGACAAATAATTGCCATATGAATAACTGTAACTTTATCTGAAGGACAATTAAATCGTATTAAAGTATAAGTCAAAAGTGGCCAAATTGGCTAATCTTAATTAACTAACTGCTGTAACTTATTAGCTCCAAACTGACGACAGAAACAGCTCAAGCTAAAATAAACAAACATAACTCACCCCAGCCCTCTAAAGGTGTTACAGCGCCAGTCAGACGTTTTAATGTAATCTGCTTTCTTTTAGGTACACGCAACCAGAGCTGGGCAATTCAACTATATTTATTGTTTTCATGATAAATCACAATATGTCATAATATGCTTTTCATACTGCATATTGTGAGTATGGTCAGTACTTAAAAAACACTTCCCAACTGCATGTTTGATTAAAAAGAAAACATAATTAGTCCTGTTTAATTAGATTTAGTGCAGCACAGTGTGTCAAGTGTTGAATACAAGTAATTGGACTCATATCTGTTGGTGGTATTTTAAAATGTGGGACTACTTTTTCTGATCTAACTTGTCAGATGTAAGAAAAAAAAAATTTGTGACATATCGTGTGGCGTAAAAACTTCCTAAAACATTATATTTTGCCATATCGCCCAACCCAAAACTGCACCCAATTCACACTCTGCGACAGAAACATATAACCGGGAAAGCTAACAACTGTGGAAAATAGTTGCGGTCATCTTAAATAATTGCAATCATCTCAAATATCAGGCAGGCAGCACAGACAGATACAAAGGCTCAGCTTCAGTCCTCATATCTTGAATCTCAAATTTAAACAGGTAATATTAAAGCTACAAATCAAACTCCCCAAATTACAGTTGATCAGCTAATGTACAAAACATACTGATGCCTAAATTTGGTCTCTACTTTTGTCCGGTAGACGGTATGTCATACAGTTTCAGAAAACACCTGAGCTACACATCTATTTGAGATTACTTAACAACTCGACCTGGATTGACACAACTGTGTGATGATTTAGGCACACAGTGTTGACTGGTGCGGTGTAAGCTTCTATTACTTGTTCGCTACGTTGGCCTTGTAGCTCCACCACAAAACTAAATAAGCAGGACACCAAACATGTCCGAAATGAGAGATCCACTGACCTGAGCCTGTTCGTCCCACAATCCCAACCTTCTCCTTGGGCCGTATTGTGCAGGACAGTTTCTTCAGTACCAGTGGAAGGTTCTCTCTGTACCTCATCTCTACCCCATCAAACACCACCTCACCCTCTTGTGGCCATTCTGGAGGGGGGGCCTTGTTCTTGACCCTTGCAGGGGCTTCAAGTGACAGAGACTGTGGAGATAAAGGGGACAAAAGAATGATGTTCCGTTCCGAAGTCTGTCACCTGAAAGGACAATTCTGGACAATCGTCATCAGGAGATGGTATGTAAATTAATAAGAAGTCCCATTCAGCATTAAACAATACGACGGCGTTTTAGGGCCACTGTTAATAAAAATAAGTCGTAATATTTTGAGAAAAAAAGTCATAATAGTTGGAGGATTAAGTGGGCTAACTATAGGGGGGCTGCCATAACGCGTTGGGGTCTCGGTTGCTGTACTGGCGACGGAGTTCCACTCACTCCTGTCTCTCTGTGGATCATTTTGATCATCATTCTCACTGTCTGTGAAACTTCATGCCCTTTTTGAATGGGGGGAGATGTAGCCCCCGATAGCCGTGTAGACGACCCTGCCTGAGATTCTCCTTCAACAACACAGACAGACAGTTTCCTCCGAGTCCGTCTGGCTCTTTATTCTAGATAAACACAGTTTCCTGCTCAGCCGTTGGTGCTGATGTGCAGGAGAGACAGGGAGACTGAGTGTTTCTTTATGGGTGAATTGAGATGAAAGTGTAACTCCACCAACTCAACACCCCTCATTTAACACGAGGAGGGGCTGCCTTCACTTTGCAAAGCCTTTGGCCACAACATTACGACTTTTTTCTCAAAATATTCCGACTTTATTCTCAAAGTCTACTATTTTTATTTTTATTAACAGTTGCTCTAAAACGCCATCGTAAAATGAGGACTCCAGAGATGTCAATAAAGATTAGTACCTTGATGTAGTGGTGGATCCTCTCAACTGAGGTGAAGCGAGCTTCAGTCTCAGAGGCCAGACGGACGGTGAACTGGAACAGTCCTGTCAGCTATGAAAGAGGGAAGAAAGTGTTCTTTTCATGTGTCAGCGACGTTAACCCCTTAACCCCTTAAAAGGCCATGTTATTACACACTTCTATAGAATAGCTCAACCAGTTTGCATTGAAGCCCCTGTAGTTACTGAATAATAAGCCTTAGTATGTAATAAGCCTGGGATTTATGGGGTTAAACGTAGTGGAATCCAGTGGTTTTGTGCTTTAACACTCTGGCAACTCCGGGAGAGGACAGAAGAGGACAAAAAAATGGATTCACTTACTAATACTGACAATGAATTTATAATTTTTCTGTTAAGTATTGCGACTAAAAGGTGCACACAGTGAGTACACACTATTCTACAAAATGACTGCACATCAACAGATCATATCTATGGGCTCCTAGATAACCAAAAACAGTTGCTGTGTCATTTGATCATCATTCCCAGCCTTCCAGCTGTGATCTTCCATATATTTTCTTTACTCTCTGCATTTGTATAGTCAACGTTTTGCATGGTTTCTAAGTTTTTGTGCCCTGCCATGACCAAAATGAGCTTTTATGCTGCCATTTGTTTGGACTGCAACCATGACAACAGAGCTGTGATTGGTCAGCATGATTTTTAATGCATGCATACAACACAGAATACAGTAATAAAATGTTGTGCATCATTTTTGACTCAACATAAAAGACAGCATTAATATCTGCATGTTCATTTTTTTAATCTGTAAAAAACAGACTCTGTACTCCATTAAGTATCATAATATTGCAGAGTAAAACAACATGGCGTTTACAAAAGAAGACAAAAAACCTGACTAACATGTTTACCCAAGTACACAGATACTGAAGCTGATATATACTGAACCATCCCCCTTTTGCCCTCACCTGCACAGCGTAAGATATCGCCAGGCCTGCGTAGGCAGGGGGGATTTTTCCATGCATGAGAACGATCATCAGAGCCGTGATGCTGATGAGAGCCACGCTGATCACATCTAGACGCACAGCCAGCCAGCGCATTGCACAGCTGAACAGGTAAAAAGGAGCCTGGTTCTGATCCAGCAGCTCCTGATATCTGGAAAACAAGCAAACACACGAAATGGATTCAGGCAACTTGCTTACGTGGGTATTCATTACAAAACACTGCAATTTTGGAAAGACTTGTATGTACATAGGGAATAGACTACTATAGACTATAAGTGTTCCAGGAGAGCCAATTGTTTTCAGTGCTCTACTACACCTGGTTACAGTCATGAAAGACTTCAGATCATTAGATGCTGAAATGATCCAGGTGTATTGTCATAAAAGCAGAAGCTACACTGAAATACAATGGCCTTCCAGGAATTCAGTAATGGGACAGAAAATGTGCTAAAAAACACCAAATTATTACTAATAATGTGCTATTATTATTATTATTATTATTATAGGCTATATATTATTATTACATAACACCAGGGCTATAATCCTCGAATCCGGGCAATCTGTGGGAATTTGCCCGATACTTTATTCTATACCAATTGGTCAGCCAAATGCCGACAAATGACATTACTGGACCTCCCCTGGTAAAATGAATCCAACTCCAATAGTGCTCAAGTCTAACCTGCGGAGGAACTCGTCTCCTTTCCCATAGGCGTGCACTGTGTTCAGGCCCTGGATGCTGGAGGCGATGTGGGAGAGGAAGGGTGACTGTGTGATGTTATCCAGCCGTTTTAGCTCCCGTATGAAGACTCGTGAGACGGCGTGCAGCAGTGTGAAGAGGAGCACCAGCGGCCCCACGGCCACCAAGAACCAAGGAAACACACTGCCGATCACCCCCAGACAGAAGAGCACCAGGATTACATTCTGGATGAACATCTCTGCTTGGAATGGCAGACGCGTGTCCACTGAGACGTGAGAGGAGACAAAACAGAGACGTTAAATGACGAGACAGAAGAGTGCAGGACAGTATTTCTCAATTTTGTGGCTATATTTTCCAACATAAATAAAATAGCTTTGCCCTGCCTTAGACCACAAAATACATAAAATACATAGTAATTCCATTGCATACTAACCACCATACTCCTGCAAGTCCTAGAGCAGAGGTCTTTAATTAAAATTCAGTAAGGTCCAGTCAAAGAAAATTTCCTCTAGCAAAGGTCCGGAACAGCATAATGTCTAACTTGCATAATGATTCAGTGCCATATACTGTTTACTGAAGTAGTAGTTATACCAACATCAGCAGTCAACAACTGAATGTCGAATCAAATAAAGTACAATTCAGTAATATTTCAACAACATTTATAGTCATTGTCAAAATGATTTCTTTTTAGGTCGCAACATGTAAAATAATCTGGCTCACTTTCTTCTCCGACTGCTGTTTTTCGCCTCGTCCCACCCCTGTGTGTGCGCCACTCACTCAAGTCTCAGTGCTCAACGTAATGCACAGATCTGATTGGCTGAGTAGCGTCACGGGTGATTTTTACAACGCATGCGATTGGTCTGTGAGTTTTCCGGGCCGCTAAAGCGAAACCGTAAAGGCTATAAAAGCTACGATGATTAAAATAGGACCACCTGGTCTAAATTAAATAATTCTCCTTAGTTTATCGCTTACAGGTCCAGGTCCGCATAGGCCAGCGTCTGGGTCCGGACTCGGACCACGGTCCGCCTATTAGTGACCTCTGTCCTAGAGGCTCCCCAACCAGTCCACATTTTTATTTCATGGTGGTGGTAGCACAATAGTCAGAGCAACTGGTTAGTCAGAGGCTTGAGGCCTAGCTCTGCTAGCCACACTGCAAAAAATGGTATCTTGTCAATTATCTTAATTTTATTCGAAATATCTAATATTACTCATTTTGAGATGGTTGTGCACTTATTATAAGATTATTTATTTATTTTTTTTACCTGTTTTAATTAATTTAATTAAGTAAAATTCTCTCACTATACTGGCAGATAATTAATAAACATTTCTTAAAACAAGCAAAATTATCTGCCAATACAGTGAGGTGGTTTTACTTCATAAAATTACTTAAAACAAGTTAAAAATGTTTGAAAATAAGATAATAATCTTAATTATTAAAAGTTAATAATCTTAAAATAAACTCAACAGGAGAAGAATTGGATATACTGACTAGATTTAAGATAATTTTACTTGACAAGATACTGTTTTTTTTTGCAGTGCAACAAGCACCCAGAGCTCCAGGTCAAAGCTGGGCCAAGACTACACAATTTTTTTCATGATTTATAACTCTGATTTGCCGCTTCTGTCAAATTTTCTCCATCAAAGTGATTTTCCAAGCTGGAAGCTTGATCGGAAGCAACTGACAGCATAGATGATCTGGTAGTGAGAGGGGAGATAAGGTCATCTTTAGCCATCAGATCTATCTCCGAAGTGCTCAGAGGCCTTCATTCGATCTTTAGGACTCAAAATGGCCCTGTAGTGTGTGATGGTTAGTGACATAACTGAATGAGTGATTCAGACAACAGCCAATGAGAGGTCAAAGAAAGAGGAGCTGGATGCTAAACACAGGCAAATAAGAGCCTTTGTCATGTTCCTAATGTACAGATTCAGACGTCTAGACACTCTCTTTACAAGTCAGTCAGATGCCTGTTGGTAATAAAATATTTCTCCAGCTCACACTGTGATATTTGAATTTCTCAATCAAATATTCATCCACAATGTGTGTTTTCACTGGGCTGAAACTTTAAAGAAGATGCCCGGTGCTGATGTGCTCCAGTGATCACGTACTCTGACCCCTCCTTCTGTCTAAATATATACAAGAGTGCTTATTCAAATAAGTCAGGGTTGAAGAATTACAAGCTGTGACAGAACCCTGTACAAGCCTAAAGGTGATGATGACTGCAGAGTAAGGGAGGAGCAGTGGAATGGAAGCCAAGGATGCTGATTCACGCTGTACCTTCATCCATGTCCTTGGCGAATCGGTTGAGGATACGGGCTGTGGGTGTGGTGTCAAAGAACTTCATAGGGCTGCGAAGAATCTTCCGGAAGAGTTCCTCGTGAAGCCTAGAGGAGGCACGCAGGGTTCCCTAAGAACAAATACATGCAAATTAGTATCAAATACAGATGGACAGAGAAGATAAACCTGAATGACGGTGAAATAATGTGTCTCTTTATTGTAAAATGACTGATTTCAGTGTAGTCTTATTTGTGCAAGTCATAATTATATAATATAATTATATATATGTGTATATATATATATATATATATATATATATACACACACACACACACACATACCAAGCACATATAAAAACAGACTTATGTGATCATAAGTACACCCCCACCTTGAAGATATTCTTAAGCCACAGTCACACTAAATATTTGCAGTTTCTGTTCCGTTATGAAATGGTTGAATGGAGACGAGACCAGAAGACTGGTGACAAAAATCCTCTGTAGCTAACTCGCTAACCATAAACTGAACAAAATGATACACTCAAAAGACCATAAGGCTGATCTGTAGCAAAAAAATGCACAGACATAGTTGGTGACACTGGAGTGATGTGTGCAGCTGTGGTTAGCCAGGGAGTTAACATAGGAGTTAACAAGCTGACTAACTCGCCCACCATAAACAGTAAAAATACCAAAGTGAGCATAATTATATCAGATATGTAAATACTTGCCAGTGCTGCACCCTTGATGTAGCACAAAAGTGTAGGTAACTACATGGTTGGTGGCAGTGGGGTGGCTGCGTTTAGCCAACAAGCTAACATCGCAGTTAGGAAGCTAATCCGCCTACTAAAAACAGTAAAACCACAAAAGTAAAGAAAATAATACAGTCTACCCACTGACTGCGTGTTACGCAGACTCTCTTTCAAGGCTTTTTTATAGCCAGCGAGAGAGAAATGTTAAGGTTCCCGTGTATATATGGAACATGGTCACTGCGTCGTCACATCCAGCTGTAAATAGTAGTGTTATTGAACTTCCGCCTGCACCGTTTAACAGAGTGGCAGTAGAGGGTCTCCGGTGTTCAGCATCCCTCAAAAATCGTCCTTCGGTCCAGCTCGGTTAATAGAAGAGCAGTTTGCATGTCTGGTAGTTCCTCTAACGTGAGCAGAAAGGCTAGTCTGACGTGGCTAAAGCACCTCACGCAAAACTTAAAACCATTTGAGCTCTGTATGAATCTGCGCATCTGCTGCTGTGGGCTGTTTTACCACTGTGTGGAGCTCAGGGGGAGTCCGGCAAACATAGTATGCTGCAGCAGAGAACGGGGCCACGCATCCCACACCTGAAAGCGCATCTCCATGTCAAAGCAGGTGTATTTAGTGTATTTGTGGAATGTGTTCCACAAAAATCTGCGTCGGAACCGTGAGGAATTTGCCTGAGACGGGTTTTGCAAAGTGGAGAAGGTGCGGATTATTATGTTCAACACCTCATCAGACATCCCTAAACAGATCTGCACTCACTGTGCTTTGGAGGGGAAAAAGTCCAGCAGGTTTAGTTTTTCCTACTCGGTCCATGTAAACATTAGCAACATTAGAGAGTGTCCTGAACACCATAACCAGCTCAGAGACACAGCATCGAGAGTTTCTCAGTTTCTCAGGGTTTTTAATCAAACCTCTGTGACGACCATCTCCAGGATTTTAAACACAGCAGTGAATGAATGTCTGTCTTGGAGCTGAGGAGCATTTTTAATCACAAAAGTGAGTAAATCTGCCCTACTGTGTAGCCTGTATTCACTCTACAGCTCAGTTTTACTCTCTTTTTGATCAGCTACCTCGTTAAAAGTGACACATGACGACACTTAATCGAGTGGAAATTCAGCTGAGGCTGTTTAGTTGAATTATTGGTGCATTAGGAACGCAGCAATGATTTCAGGCAGTATCAGCCACTGTTTACAGTGCAACCAGAAGCTGTTTAACACTACTATTTATTCTTCTGCATTAACGAACACGGAAGTGTGAAAATGGTCTTTTAGTCTTTACCTCTATTTCGGAGGTCTGTTGCCGCTATAAGAAGCCCCTTCAGAGGTTAAAACAGTAGTGCTTCTGGTCAAAGACATACATTTGCGTGCCAAACGTCACCAAAGTTGAATTTGAAATGAAATTACACACACGAAACATATTCGCCCTGAACTTAGGGACATGGAAGTGTTTACTGTGGCGAATCCCATTGAAATTAATGTCATTTTGTTACATTTTTGGCAAATGCTAGTGTGACTGGGCCTTCAGTCCAGATCAACCGAATCTCACCTTCACAAAGACGATGCCTCTCAGCAGTTTGAGTAAGAGCGTAATGCCCATGGACATGGTGTAGACAGCAGCGTAGTACTGCATCAGAGGATTGTCCCGCATGCTGTCGCTCACCATTGAGCTGTTCCCCACCAACACTGTGGTGTTCTGCACACAATGGAAGAGATCAAGTTGCACAAACACACCACACATCGTAGTGGTGATTACATTCTGTAAAGCTCGTTACTTTTTTCAATAAGCATAAATTACACATCCCCCACTCAGGTGTACTACAGAAACTATGGCAACAGTAATGCCAGTGTTTACACAATAGAAAGGAACATCCACGACATGCCTGAACATATTTTCCTCTGCATTGTTCTGTAATGAAGACGTAATCCAAGCTGTAATGAAGTAGAGGTGGGTGATATGGCAAAAATGTAAGGCTATGATATTTCAAGACGTTATTACGATACGTAGAGCTGGGCGATACGGCCAAAAACGTTATCACGATAAACAAAATTCATATCGTTCGATGGCGATACATTTCGCGATAAATGTCAAATCATGATTTCTTTCACGTTTGAAGGCTGATTTTGCTCCTGGGTGGTTAACTGTGGTTTTAAACTATCACTTATGGTACGATCATGACAAACACTCGGCAAACAGTGGAACATTTCACTAATCTGTCTTGGGACAGTGGGAGAAAGTTTCTGAGCTGTTTTTATCAGCTTGAAAAGCACAGCTGCAATTTTTGTAATAGTCATAATTTAAGAAAGAAAACAGATTATTTTAGCTGTCTGGTGTCGAGCGCTCGGCTACCCCGCTACAAATGATAAACAAGTGGCCAACAACAGAGCTAAACTCTTTAGTTTCTCAACAACGTCAACTCGGTTCGGGTGGTCACTGCGGTCACTCCTACCACATCCATGTCAGAGCATATCACAGTATTCAGACACCAGCTAGACGACTGGGTTTCTCTATGCTACCGTAGTAGTTTAAGGGGTGAACCGCAGTGTATCTGACGTTCGCTGTGTAAAAGCATTAACTGCAGTGTGAATCTCTCACTCCAGACACAGAGTCCTCCTTTTAGGTATGTTTAAACTGAAAGCGGTGATTTTGTGTCTTGTTTGATCTACCGTATCATCAATTCACCGTGTTGTGCCGGAGCGCTGCTTCAAGTTAGCCAGCAGCTAAAAACAGCTAGCCTGGAAAGATAGCTAGCGCTCTCCCGCTTCCCAATGCCTCACAGCTTCCTCAGTTTACTTTCGTTTAAATCAGGGCTGTAATTTACATTAACCCACTTCTTTCTTTCACTTTCGTTGCTCGAGAACACACTAATACTAAAATATGACGGTTTGGCGCTGTAACACGGCGCTGCAGTCGTGATTTAACACCGCTAAAGTTGTTAGGATGTTAGGAAAGAGGTGAGTTCACCGTAGGGCAGTACAGTTACGTCACTGACCTCGTCACTCGGTCACAGGAGAACAGATCGCCGGCCGCTCCACTCAAACAGGGACTGTATAACTCCGCGTTTCAGCCGTTGCTAAAGTATATTTGGCGACCCTTTTTTTACTCGTGGCCCCCTCCCTCTCTAATCAAGTCGAAAAACTCGGAAGTGCGCCCTCTCCTGGCGACAGCAGAGTAGTGTCGCTTTCCTTGCAGTAGAAAACGCCACCGGGGCTTTCGGTAAAACGTGGAAGTGTGAGAACGGTGTATTATATCGAACATTTATCGAACCTGTCTTATCGCTCTATCGAGGAAAAGTTATATTGCGATACTTATCGCTATCGTTTTATCGCCCAGCCCTAACAATACGCAATACACTATATGAACAAACGTATAGGGACACACCTCTTAATCATTACATTCAGGTGTTTCATTCAGTCCCAGTTCCACAGGTGTATAAAATCAAGCACCTAGCCATGCAGTCTGCCTTTACAAACAATTGTGAAAGAATGGGTCGTTCTAAAGAGCTCAATGAATTCCAGCGTGAATTGTGTGCTTCCAACTTTGTGGGAACAGTTTGGGGAAGGCCCTTTTCTGTTCCAGCATGACTGAGCCCCAAGGTCCATAAAGGCATGACTGGGTGAGTTTGGTGTGAAAGTACTTGAGTGGCCCTCACAGAGCCCTGACCTCAACCCCATCCAGAAAGCTCCCCAGAAGAGTGGAAGCTGTTATAGCTGCAAAGAGGGACCAACTCCATATTAATGCCTATGGACTTAAGTTGAAACAGACTAAGTATTGCCACATTTACAAAAATACTAACAAAAACTACAAACAATGATTTATATTCAACATTTCACTCCCTGCTGCACTAAACCCGATTAAACAGGACTAATCATCCTCTCTTTGTAATCAAACATGCGGTTGGGAAGTGCTGTTTAAATACTGATGAAACTCAGAGATACTCAGAGAAGCATAGTGACATTTGTCACAATTAATGATAATTATTGTCATACTGCTCAGCCTATGCTAGCACTTCTCAAAGCTTCACACAAACCACAAGTAAAGGACTTTACACATTAAAAATGTACATGACCTTCTCTCCTTACACCTCCTCTTAGATCTCAGCAGCTTCTCTTCTTCACACAACAAAAGCTGTTTAAAAAACCCCATCTGAACAGCTATATTTAGCAACGTCTTAAAAATGGGCTAGGAGACTAAATATGGACTGTGTGATGATATTCACAGCATGTTGTCAGCTTCTTCATACCCTTAAAAGGAGAGCAAGGAGAATAATACATCACTCATGGACATTAACCCCCTCCAACTGCTAGTGTTCTCTTACCCCACTGCCCTGTTTGATCCAGTAGCTCAGCCACCAGTTACTGAACGCAGTGCTGCCCACATTAAGCATGAAGAGGGCCAGGATGAAGAGGAAGACGGGCAGGCCGCCTAAGGCTTGGATATAGACTCCGTACACGGCACAGGGCACTGAGCCTTTACCCCGCTCTTCAACCTGCATCAGCTGACCTGGAGGGGGGAGAGAAGGAGATGCCCAATCCAGACACATTCATTTTAATACTTTAATAATGCTTTGCATAAAAGACTGGCAATCGTTTTTGATAGGAAATCAACAGTGACATACTGTTTAATCTTTATAGATATGTCATATCATATGTAATATCATCCAGGAAACATACTGAAAATGTTGCATTTTGGGATAAGACTGCCTTCTTTCAGTCTAGATTGTGGACTGAATACAGAGGAAAGGGACCCTTGAGACGTGCGGCTAATTTTCAGCGTCGTGTGTGGAAGCGGGCAGTTAACCAGCACAGTGTGGACAGAAGCAGGACGACACTTGCGTGTAAATCCCACAAACAAATGAATAGCCAAAATAAAACTATAACAATCACTTGATGAATGGCATTTATAAATAACATCTAACAACAAAATAGCAAAAAGTAATAAATTCTAAACACAACAAGTCATAAACTAGTTCTAAACAGAAGCAACCAATCACAGGAACAATCAAATGATTGGCTTTCTTGTAGGCTGCAGAAATGCCGGAGCCGGACAGGCAGACGGCCAAAGCTGTGGAAAACGCTCTTAATAAAGGCTAATCCACGACAATAAAGCAGACTAAAGGCAAGTCTATCATGTGGCAGTCATTTTTAGTCATGACTAACGCAGATGGAAACCAGTTGTACAGGTCTGCGGGCGGGAGCGGGACAAACATTGCAGATTTTTCTGTGGGAGTGGGATGAAGTTTTCAAGAGTGGGACTAAAAAATAGGTCCCATGCAGACCTCTAATACTCAGAGGTTTTGAGAAGAGGGCTGGCACCTAATCCGCAAAGTTTCATGAAGAACAAATATAAAATACAATAAAATGTAGCATCTGGCTGTATTCCTCTGTCTTGTGACATCACTGTATTCACTTTGTGAATGGAAATATTAAAATACACTCTGTGTACTTTCCAGTTTCATGAGAGATCAGCCATCATAAACCATAGATGAAACATTCTGCTGTATTCCTGTGTAAGCTTACTGACTTGAAGATGATCAATAACTTTAATGTGATCACTAATATTAACTGTGTAAAAGTGCATAGACTAATACAATCGCCACACACAACCCTGCAGCTGGAAAGCGTCACATGACTGAAACAGATGAATATTCATGTAGGACGCACAGACAAAACCTACCGTCTTCCTTGCTGGGAGGTTTCTCCTTTTTCCCAGATCCTGCCTTGGTGTTGTCAGAGGGTTTCTTAAGGGAACTCCCAGAGGTCTTGTTTGGTACCTATTAAGGCACAAGATAAATGAATGTCAATATGTGAAAACGTTTTAGCGTAATTTATACAGCTGTCACTGTGTGTTTTATAATAATCATATCGCTGCTATCAGGACAAAATCTTATATCTCAGTTTTTTGTCATTTTTCATTTTTTGACCTAATTTGAAACGACCAGTTGCCCTTTATGTTGTGTCAAAATTTCATGAGGAACGGACGACCAGAAAAGCTCCAAAATTACATGGAAAAAATATTTCTCCATTTACTTCCATTAGAAGTCAAGAACATTTTTTCTTTCTCCTGTAAAGTTACCTTTTTGGGGATATGAGGTTTTGTTCCGACAGCAGCGATATGCTTAAAGGGCCCATATCTTATATTTTTCTTGTATTTTATTTTTCCCCTGATATTCTTTTATAATCTTTGTGGCTTTATATACTAAAAACGGCCATAATTCATTTATACATGATGATTTTTCAACATTTCTTCGTTCCTTAAAATTACATGGGCTGTTTTTGTTCCTGTGCCTTTAAGGCAGATATATGCAAATGAACTCTTCTCTTATAGGCCTCCCTTTATTGTCTCTTATTGTTCTTCAGGCCCCATTACTTCAACGAGAATGCTAAACTGCTGTAGGCTGAAAAGGTGGATGTATGTAAGCAAGTTGGTTCTTGTAACATCACAGAACCAGTGAGTTCAAAACAGGCTGCTTTTGCAGCTTCCTCTCTATTTATGGTCTGTATAGACTGAATATCATTTATTCGTTGAATGAATATTTAAAGAGAGGGAGGTTTGGTTTTCCATGGTATGGAGCCTTTAAACTTTGTCACAGGTTTCTCTCTTCATCTCGATCCTACCTCGATCAAAGGAGCTTCTCCAAGCTGTAGGTTGTTGAACATGGCCGCATAGTCTCCGTTCAGGTTCATCAGGTCCTCGTGGCTGCCTTGCTCCGTGATACTTCCCTCCCGCATGAAGATTACGTCATCACAGTCCACCAAGTACTTCACACAAACAACACAGTCACAATTATAATTAATACGCTGCATACCTGTAATTAAAAGATATCAAACTGGACATCCTGAACTGTTGGGGAAATATCTGGAAGATCTATTCTTTGTGTATACTTGCGTATGTCGAACAGGGAATTCTGAACGTCTTCCATACCTGCAGCTGGTGAGTGACGAAGATGATGGTTCTGCCGCGCAGTTGCTTCCTGATGGCGTTGTTAAAGATGTGGTTTCCCACATGGGCGTCCAGAGCACTCAGAGGGTCATCCAGGACGTAGATGTCTCTGTTACTGTACAAGGCACGGGCTAGACTTATCCGCTGGCGCTGGCCACCGCTCAGATTAGCTCCTCGTTCACCAATCTAGAGGTAAAGGACGACGATGCTTTTCAAAATCAGGTTTTTATTTCATTGACGTGTTTGTGAATCGAGGGAGCGCAGATTTGATTCCCTTTTCTCCTCCACAATATTCTAAATTCTTTAGCAAATCAAATGAATTTTACAATCTGAAAAAAATACTGGGCTATTTTTTAACTATGACCAGCAATGGGCTACTCACTGCATCTCATTATTACTGTAGGGGGGTTCAAACTGTTGTAAAATGATCTTAATACACAAAAGGTTTAAATGAGGAATGCGTATGGGTGGCCTACCTCAGTCAGGTCAGCATTAGGAAGTATGGCCAAGTCTGGTCTCAGACAGCAGGCGCTCAGAACTGTCTGGTACCTATAGGAACCATAAAAGGAGAATTTACTATGAGATGGAGAGGTGCTAACATACAACACTACATCTCTACCTCTACAGAAACACTGCAGAGTTTGTGGACCTTCTTGAGATCTTCTGTATTTGTCCTCAATGTGATTTTAAGTACTAAAGGTATCTTAAACTTAGTCTATATATCTAATATTTCTCATGTTGAGACTGTTGTAAGCTTTTTACTGAGTTATAATGAATGACAAGAATGCCTAATAGTTTAATTATTGTGAATGGCATTTATAAATCAATATATTTGAAGAATTTTATGTACACTGCAAAAAATGATGATTATCTGAAATCTAGTAGATATATCTAATCTTTCTCATATTGAGATTGTTATTAGCTTTTTATAAGATTATTTATATTTTTACATATTTTAGGTGAGTTTAGAAAGGCAAATTATCTCACTATGCTGGCAGATCATTTTGGCAGGTCATATATGCTTAAAACAAGCCAAATGATCTACAGTGAGACAAATAAAAATAAAACAAATAAAAAGTCTAGAAATGATCTGCCAATATAGATAATCTGACTTTCTAAAATCAAAAATCACCTAAAACATGCAAAAATATAAACATAAATATATATATTTAAAAAAAGCCAATAACAATCTCAACATGAGAGATATTATATATATCTACTACATTTAAATTAATTTCACTTGCCATGACACCATTTTTTGCAGTGTACATAAAATTCTTCAAATATATATATATATTATGAATGTCACTTACCATAATTAAGCTATTTGTTTTAGAGTGTTATAGCCTTGACTGACCAACTGACTAATGTTTTGAGACGATTTTAGCCCCAATTTTGGTCGCAGACAAATTTTTGAGATCTGCGACAAATCGCTGCGCACATCTGTGACGACTGCTCAGGTGAAATTCTCTCCGATTAATCTAGTACAACAAACAGTAGGAGGAGCGATGAGCAGCAGCCAACGAGAGGGCGAGAGAAATCTCTCAGGGAGTGAGGAAAAACCAACAAAAGCAAACATGGCAAAGGAGTTAGACAAAAAAAATCGGCAAGTATAGCCCAAGGCTGCTGCTCTCTGCCACTTCAGCCGTGTCTGGAGCAGCCTCCGAGTGAATGTTCATGGCAGTTTTCTCCTCTGTGCTGGCCATGTTTCACCAAATGTGTTGTCTGCAACCTCCCACAGTCTGTTTGGATTATCACAAACCAGTGTCACAGACACCACACCACACATCACACAGAGGACTGGTGAGTTTCCAGCTCCAATACTCAACCTGGTAATTAACCAGTTCACCAGTTCATTCTGGTGAAAATCAAAACAAAAACTACACAGCACCGGACCCCAGCCCTACACTAAAACTCACCTCTCTTCCTCATAATCCTTCCCGAACAGAATGTTGTCACGTAGTGTGGCATTGAGGATCCAAGCCTGTTGGGCCACATAAGCAAAATCTCCATCGACAGCCACCGTGCCCTCCAGAAGAGTCATCTGAGAGACAGACAGGACTCGGTTAAGCAGTGTCTTACTCAAATCCTCAATACATACAACAAAAGCAGCCTTTATGGCTCATTTTTAGTATTATTACATCTTGTTCCTGTTATTCTGTACCGTTAAGTCCCTCTGAACCACTGGAAAACAGGTGAATTGTCCGTGCCTTACCTGGCCAAGGATGGCTGAGATGAGGGAGGTTTTTCCACTGCCCACACTACCGCAGATACCGACCAGCTTACCCTGTAGGAAAGAGGAGAAAGATTAAAAATAAAACACCTCAGTGGAAGGCTCTGTAGTCTAAGTTGCTTTGAAAGATGTTGCATTTAACATGGAAATAAGGTCTTGTTTGCTATAAACCTCTTATCTAATCTTTTAAATAATCATAACGGCTCATATGCTGATGCAAAAACTACAGTTACTGCTACAGAAACAGCCCCTAAACAATCTACAAACAGTTGGACAATCAAACTACTCATCTACATGACTCGTCTTGATTCATATTGGCGCTCTGTTCACATCAAACTATCAGCAGGTACGCTTTACTGCACCTTTGTCCTCTTCTTTTTCTGTTAAATGTTTCTGTATAAATAGAACATACTATTATAACTTTCATTATTATGTTGATTTGAACCTTTTCTATGGAGAGGTCAATGCAGTGCAAGGTCCTTTGCAGCCGTTGGCTAATGGTGGGCACGTGAAGGGTGTGGTCTTCTGCACTTGAGGGCGTGTCCTCAGAGTTGTCAGTCAACAAATGCCCGTGCTGCATTTCTGCCATATCACAATGCCTTGTGTCCCCCTGCTGGTGCCGTTTCTTGCGTGCCACTCTCTGACTCCGCCCCACGTAAGGCGTCCCGCGGGGCGTGGGCTGCGCGCTGTTGCCCGTTGTGTCCCAGGCGAAACTCGCCCCACTCAGCTCCACGGCCAGACTGGGATTCCGTGGCTTCTCGTGAATCGTCTTAACCTCCGCCATCAGGAGCACACTCTAAAACACAGGAGAGATGAAGAGCGCAGAAACATTAGGGACTTGAAGCATTGATAGCCGCAGGGACGCTAAAGTGACCGCAAAGAAAATGTACTATTTTGTGCTGATTTAATTTAGCTAACTAGTAACTACATTTTTAATGAAGTTGAATTAAAACTTAATTTACAACACTATTTTTTCAATTCATTCATAGCAAAATAGATACTAAAAAATAAATAAATAAATAAATAATTAAGACACTGGCTTATTAAATTAATTTTCCCATTTTTACATTTACATAAACATCATTTGCTTGTAATGTTATAAAAATTATCTGAAGCTTGATATTCTCTAGACATTTATATCCGTTTATAAGCACTTCGTTATTTAATTTATAGGGTCCTTATTCTACATATTTCTTGTATTTTATTTTTTTATTTTTAATCATTTACATATATCAGTCGAAAAGGTACAGTAACAAAATCAGCCTGTTTAATAGTAAGAAATAAAAAAGAGGAAACCTCAGAAACTTTCAGGGAAACGTTTCTGATTGGCTGCCCTGTGTTATGCACTGTTCAAAAAGCAGTCCGGGTTGAAACACTTCTTATAACTTCACAGCAAATGGGTGGGGCTAAAGTGATGTAAGCCAAATAGGAGAATATACATAAAAATGTGTTTGTTTTTATGACATCTTGAAAACAGTGAACTCAAAATGGGCTGTTAGTGCAGCTTCGTTTCCATTTATAAACTGTTTGGATTGGGGTTTTAACATTTTCAACCAGTTTTAAAACTTTAGCAACATTTACATACTAAACCAACTCTTGTTTTAAAAACGTGAGAAAATGTGGTCTTCAATCATAAAAGCCCCCTAAAAGAAAACAGTAAACATATTTGATTGCAAAAGACTTACTTCCTCAAAAGCTAACTAGATAGTTGGTTAACAAAAGATTATCGAGAGGACAAAAGAACATAATGTGGTTCTTTGTAGATTTTTTTTTTAATTGAATTTTTGTTAGAATAAGCTGTAAATGCTCTCTCCTGTCATTGTCCTAGAGGTATTAGGTGTCACTACAGCTGTCAACATTTAAAGTCCCTGCTAGCTGGCTACTAGAGAGATACAGGACATCTTGTTCTACAAAGTCCCAGTACATTCTGAGATTTGACTGTCATCCATCTAACCAGCTATGCTCTGAAATATCATCACCGTCGTTTGTACATTTCTATCAATTGAATCCCCAGAGAATCCCCACCACCCCTCGCTGCCATGGCAAACTGAGCAGTCAGCACTGGCATTAGCGGACCCTCTCCTTTCGACGTTTGCGTATGGACAGGGTGTGTACAGTGCGTGTGCGAACTGGAGGGGGACTGGCAGGTCTTCGAGTTCGAGACGAAGCCCCTCCGAGCTTATTCAGCACATTCCCGAGAGTCACCAGCCTAAACCAGAACAAATACGCAGCTCTCCAACACTACCTGCCCAATCCAAGGATTTAGGGGACAGGATGACCGACAAAGAGGGGCTGCCAGCAATCCCAAACCCTAAACTAACACGGGACAGGCAGCAGAGCAGAAACTGGGCCAGACCCAGAGGAAAATTTTATTTGTCAAATGTTGCTCTTTGAGGTCTCAGGAGACTCAAATATGATTCTCCTAAAATTCCTTAGAAGAAAAACCTAGAAATGAGATACAGAGAGATAAAGGAGTGGCAGGAAGTGGAGAAGGGGTCAGTGAGGAGCAGATTATTCAGAAGGAATGCGCTCTCACTCCGTAGGTTAGCCTCAGGGAGCTAACTGGCTAGCCATGCAAACTTTGCAAGTAGTTCATACGTCATTAAAGTCGGTCAAATCGGCGCCACTCTGATGAATAAGCGCCAGTGTGAAGCTTTATTGAGCTCTCTACTAAAACTCAAGCGGAGACGTGTGAGATTACTGGGCTCTTCTCTCAGGAGAAACATCTGAGCAGCAGGAGAGATTTAAAATTCTAGATTGTCTTTCCATCTGACCTCACTGGCTGTGTTTACATGCAAAGATTTTTGCTAATCCCATTGAATAAATTCCGATTATAGATCAAGACTGAGCTGTTTATTCTCACTCTACTCAACAATCTAATGGAAATCTCCGTTTACATGCTCACTACAAGTAATCCAATCCAAAATTACACGCATGTGTAGAGAATCACTTAGTGTAGACGTTACCATGACAACCAGCAGCAGTGAGCAGTGCTTGTGTTTTTAATTGCTTTAAAATGATGTCAGACTCAGGAAAACGTCCTTCACATGTCCTTATTAAAGAAGGCAGAGAGGAAGACGTCGTGTTCTGAGACACATAAGATGGACGTCCGTCCCACCGCCGTCTTTTAAAGATCAGAGCATAAACTTCGTCTCCTCTGCAGACCAGTTTCTGCTCCGCCATGTTGAACGGTATAAACTTTCACTATGACGTGACGAACATGATCAGAACGGATTTAAACTTTCCGATAGGGAATGTAATCAGATACAGGCGTTTACATAGATATTATTCTTCTATTTAACAGATTATTTACTGGATTACCCACCTCGATCAGTCAGATAGAAATTGCGTTCTGAATGGCCTCAATTGGACTAGACTATTCCGACTGATGTGTTTACATGGACGTATTCTATTCCAATTGAGCTATTAGTCGGATTATTAACGGATTATTATGCTGCATGTAAATGTGGCTACTGAGCTATTAAGGAGATTTTTCAATGGGGAATTTAAGATTAGTGATACGAGGTGGTAGGAATTTGCATAAAAGATTAAAAGATAAAGACTTGTGTAGCAAAAAAGAGGTGACTGCACTCACCCTGAACCTCTCCATAGCCACGGACGCTTCAGAAAGAGACTTGACTGAGAAGGGGGTGACCTTTAGGGCAAAGGTCATGGCATTGAACACAGTCACGACAGTAAATGCCTGGAGAAAGACAAATGTCCAACATTACTGCATAATCACTACAAGTATTCAGGACTATGGCTGTGAAATTGTATATACTGACACCAAGTGAAGGAGCTGACCTGCGCAGCAGTGAGGTCATAACCCAGCAACATATGGGTGGAGAAGGTGGCCACACTAGCAATCACCACAACGATGGGAGCAATGCCCACGGTTATGCTTTGGAAATATCCTGTGCGCTCCAGGATCTGGCGCTCTTCATCTCTTATTCCTGCCAGATAACATTCAACAATTTACACAGGCGCCAACAGGGGTCAGTTCAAAGGGGAACTCCACTGATTTTTTAAATTTCTGCCTAATTAAATGATTAAGATGTAAACAAAGTCATTCAGAGTTTTTTTTTATGTGAAACACTCCATTCTAAAGGAACTTAGACAGTCAGAATTGTTCACAGTGGTGGTGGTAGGAACCAGACGTCTCAAGAGTTTAATGCCTCTGAAATCTCCCTCACAGAAATGTGTTACATGTACACTGTTTGATGTCTGAGACATAGTTTTTGGCCTAAAGCATATTTTTCATCCGTTCATGGCGGAGGAGTACATGCAGAATTTACCACTATTTTACCATCATCAACATCACATATAAAATCTCAGAAGACACACGTAGGTGGTTTTAGATAGTAAATAAAAATGGCTGTATTTGTGTCGTAGACATCGCGATCCCTGGTTCCCATCACCACCACTGTAAAGAAGTGTCTCTACAAAGAGCCATTTCACATCAAACCACTCTGAATGACTTTGTTTACAACTCTGAATTGTGCAGAATTTTGAAAAATTTGTGGAATCCCCCTTAACAATTTTAGGCACAGACATTTGTAACAAAATGGAATAGTCCACTATAGGCAGGGTGGTGCTGCACTGACATTCCTGAGAGTAATTACTATAATAGTCCATTACAACCAATTTGGTATGTTTAATATATCCTTATAGGTTATTTCACATAAATACATACATTAAAGTTATAATGTTACGAGACTTCTTGGGTGCCTATTGTACAGCTCACCCCTAAGCATGAAATACTCTCAACCACAAATCTAAACACAGACAAAAAGACACACCAAACTAAAACAGGCCCTTACTTCGCACGGCTTGTGAGAAAGCCTTGACCCAGGCGTACATCTTGATGAACTTAATGTAGTTCAAGATCTCATTCATCTTTTGAACGCGCTGGTCGGTAACAGCTACTCCCTTCCTCCTGAAGTAGGCCGTCAGTCTGGAACTGAACATCTAAGAGTGCAGGAGAGACAGTTGAGCCACTGTGCAAAACTCCATTAAAGAAGTAATTTAGTCGAATTGTGAAACTGCTTGAAAGCGAAAAGCCACCTATTAGATTTATGGAAACAGAACCATGCTAACTGGTGGCTGCTGCTGGCTTGCATTCATAGTTGTCACATTAGCAGGTTTGGTAAAGCTGTTAATCAACGACACCACATTTAAAAGTGAGTTATATGCAGAGCTGCTTACCATAGTAGGGTAGAAGAGAATGAACACAGCAGAGCCTAACAGAGAAGTGGGTCCCAGTACGGAGAGATTGTAGACCATCCCCAACACGGCCACTAGGGGGCCTCCTGCCAGCAGACTGCCCACTGCTGCAGCCTCAAACATGCGCTGTCCGTCAGTCGAACACATGTTGATCAGCTGGACACAAGAGTGGATGAAGTTGCATTTTCTCAGTATCAACATAAATTGTGTATATGTACAGAACTAAATCCACAATTGCTGATGTTGCTGTATTCAAGTGTAACAACTAATTCCTGTCTTCAATTTATCAATTTATCATTACAACTACCTCTGAATAGTCCACCTATTCACAATTCCAGGCAGCTCAAACCCAGCTCAGATGTTTATTTGAAAAATGTTTCTTTTCAAAAAAAAGAGATGTGTGATACTATTGATTTTCTACAAATCTGCCTGGGTTTTCTTGATTGCAGTGAATGTTTACTGGCTCCGCCCAGCACAATCCAATAGAGTCTGGCTGCAGACGTGCACTCTCAGACAGAGGCACTCTCAGACAGAGGCACTCTCAGACAGAGGCAATCTCAGTCAGATGCACTCTCAGACAGAGGCACTCTCAGACAGATGCACTCTCAGACAGAGGCACTCTCAGACAGAGGCACTCTCAGACAGAGGCAATCTCAGTCAGATGCACTCTCAGACAGAGGCACTCTCAGTCAGAGGCACTCTCAGTCAGAGGCACTCTCAGACAGAGGCAATCTCAGTCAGATGCACTCTCAGACAGAGGCACTCTCAGACAGAGGCAATCTCAGTCAGATGCACTCTCAGACAGAGGCACTCTCAGTCAGATGCACTCTCAGTCAGAGGCACTCTCAGTCAGAGGCACTCTCAGACAGAGGCACTCTCAGACAGAGGCACTCTCAGCCCCAGTGACGTCACATGCACTCTCTGCCACAACAGCAGAAGCAGCCCATTAACTTTTGACTGCTGTTGCTGAGCGATACCATCACTTAATCCATTTTTCGTCCATAGCACAACTAGAGGATTACATTTAACAGACTTCCTGTTGAAAAAAGTCATGGAAAACATTAAAAGTGTCTGTTGGTTCCTGGTGGTTTTCAGTAGTCCCTAATGGTATTCTGTGTTTTCCTACTGGATTCATATCACAGTTTAAAGGATTCTGAACGTTTAATCAGGTGTTTTGGGACTGATACCACATACATTTGATTGTGTCCTAATGGTATCTAACGGCAACCATCAACCCAATTCCCGCTAGGAAGCAAAACCATCAGGTTTTATTCCTAACAGCTCTAATCGTCTTCAGCATGGCTTTAATGAGTTTCAGCCGTAGCCTGTTTTTTTTTCTTCTTCTGCGAATAAACCTGGCATAAACCAATAACCTGGAATAAACCAATATATGTTCAGTGTAGCCCTTGTTGGCCGGCAGTACGTGGTTCGCTGTTTTTCCTCATTAAACTGACAAAAACACTCGTTGCAGAGCAGCACTGACATCATTAATAGGCAGGCGGTGCATGTCAGGCTGAGAGTGCATGTCTGCAGCCAGACACTTCTCGCACAATCAGGCCACAGCACTGAAACCAGGGCATATTTTCAGCACAATCAATCCTTTAATTAACAGATATCCAGCTCTACCAAGCAGCTGAGCTGTTAGAAAGTGTGCCTAAAGGACAAAAAGGTGAAACAGGCTACATTATCAGCAAAATCCAGATCTATTTTGTCATTTCGGTGTTACCCAATCTGCAACTGGCTGCAAATCAGCAGCAGAAAACCATTTTTTCTACTCTTACAAAATTATGGTTCTTCAAGGGTTCTTCAGTGAATGAACACTCAAAGAACCTTTTGCATGATTAAAGTGTTCTTCAAGTTGATGGAGAATGTGCTGTAGATGGTTCTATATAGAACCTTTTTGAAAATGGTCCTATACAGCACCAGAAAGGGTTCTTTTATTATCCAGATGTCAAGCCTGTAACAATAGAAGAACCCATTCTGATGCTAAATAGAACCCTTTTCAAAAAGGTTGTATATAGAACCATCTACAGCACATTCTCCATCAACCTGAAGAGCCCTTTAATCACGCAAAGGGTTCTTTGAGTGTTCATGGTTCTATATAGAACCATTTTCTTTCTTGACGAACCCTTTAATCATTTTTAAGTGTGAACACAAACGGGGTCTGCTTCTCATCAGCACCACAGCTCTGGACGATACAGTGATTTAAACAGTTTTTGTTACTTCATGTACAATAATGGACAATGTCGTTTTTATTTGATAAATTAAGGATTTTAGATGTTTAGTTAAATATATTTAATTTAATATGTTTCAGGCATCTTCATTCTCGATTATAGTGTCTTTTTAGACTCATCTACAGCAGGGGTGCACAGCTCCGGTCCTGGGGGGGAGTTGGGGGGCAGTGTCCAGCACAATCTGGTGGTTCCACCACTCAAACACACCCACTAGACATGGCAGTTAACAGATGAGTGTGATTAGCTGTGTTTCAGCAGGTAAATCACCAAACCGTGCTGGACACTGGCCCTCCAGGACCGGAGTTGTGCACCCCTGATCTACAGCTTCCTGGACAATTATTCTAACCAGTGAAACTACACAGGACTTATAAGGCATATTAATCCTTGTGTGGTGTTCGATGTGATTTTCAATGTTTACCAAAAGAGAAAATTATCCAATATATTATTATTTCAACCTCAGATTCTTGGCCTTTGCTCATTTTCTGTGAAGAACATATAAAATAACCCATTTTCAGGGTCTTCACTCTGTTCACCCCCCACACATTTATATTACACATGTGGTGCTGGGTGAACCCGCAGGGAATAAAAGTGTGGAGGTGCTGTGTCCTTCACTCTGTTCTCCTCCTACATGGCCTGCTGTTAGTGTGTGTATGTGTTTGCATATGTGTGTGTGTGTGTGTGAGGGTGGACAACATGGACAGGCTGCTGACTGGCTACAGCTGCTAAAGGAGAACCCTACGCTGGACACTTGTGGTATTTTAAACATATGGTATTTGTACATAAATTGTTATGGCTGTATTGTATAAAAAAACAGTAATTCGAGGGGTCAACCAGACCACTGAGTAACAACAACATGAACACCACACAAGGGTTAAAATTATTTTACAATTTAATTTACATATTCATATCACTGAAAAAAGGGCACTTTTGAACATTAGTAAGATCAGTATGAAATGCCGCTCACCTCTCCGATGGACTTCTCGCGCAGGCTGCGCAGCCGCAGGATCTTGTGGAAGGCCATGGTGAGGATGGCTCCACGCAGGCGCGTACCAGTGCGGTAGTTGAGGGCCCAGGTGAGGGCCAGGGACCAGGAGCGGACCATCTCAGTGGTCAGCAGGCCCAGCACCAGCAGCAGGCCGAATGGCAGGTCCGGCTCGCTCCGCTGCGTGTACTCCAGCAACCGCCTGACCACAAACGCCTGCGGAGAGGGAGGACGAGCAAGGGGGGCGACAGGACACAAGCACGCGTGACTGAGGGCACACACACACACACATGCCTGCAGCACTGCGAAATCATCGACAGCCCTACCATCATCATCATCATCATCATCATGATCATTACGATCATCATCCTCATCTCTAACTATTATATCCGAGAGCAGGAAGGGTACAGGAATGCAAATCACTGAGTGCACTAAGATGCAAGATTCTGCATGATAATTGTTTAAAAAAGGCAGTGAGCGAATAGCAACTTCTACTGAGAAGAAAACTGCAGCCATTTTTTTTGAAATTGTGTTCTAATCGTTTACCTTAGGTGGCCCTTTTCTCTACCCTTTGAAAAGAACAAGAGAGACAATGAAATAGTACCAACAGCGCCATTTCTGGGACAAATAAGAGAGACAATGCACTGCTAACAACATGTATCACAGACATCCCCTTGGCGGATGCAAAGACATTTTACCTACAGTCACATCAGGGTGGGATACGGGACGGAGACGCACTTTTGTTTTAACACCTGAAAATCGATATTAATTAAATCAGTAATTAGGAGCAAAGAGCAAAAAAAAGCATAGGACACACATACAAAGAGAGAAAACCACCAGAACAGCCAAGGATACACTTCATTAAATGATATAAGCACCACACGCGCACACGCGCACACGCACACCCACTCGTACAGGCGCACTTAACGCTCTCAAATACATGCACATAGTCAGGAAATCTTCTCACACAAAACTGGGAACATTCGCGACCATTCAACACAGCAGTAACATTTTATTTCGTCAAAAATGTGGATATTCAAGTGTCGGGTAAATGTTCAGCCATTGCACACATTCATGTAAAAGAATAAAAAAAGAATATGCAGCAGGAAAACAAACAACATACAGGATGCAAAGAATGTAAACAAAAACGATGCATTACTTTCTTAACACGGACCTAAATCAGGTCATTCTTATTTATCGTGAGCGAGAGTCCTCTGTACGTTGACATCATGTGCACTTTCTGTCTGGTGGGACAATAAAACAAAACACAGTTCTAACAAAATTTTAAGTAAATGAACCGTTTATTTATGTAGCCACTGAAATGTGTCCATCAACGTGGTCAAAAATCCAGTGACATGCAGAGAAAAAGAGAAACGAGGTTCAAAAAAGAAAAAAAAATTCTCCAAACAGTCCGAACAAGACATAAATATGAAAACACCATCAGTCCAGTTTTCCTCGGTCATCAGGGTGTCAATGTGAACTTGACAAAGCCCTGCGGTTGTTGGATCGATAGTCCTTTGGCACACAGCTCAGAGATGGACACGCTGTCCACTTCTATTACAAAATATACATTAGACAATTTGAAGAGCAAATCATTTCGCCGACCTTTAGCTGGATCAAATCAAAAGACATTGTGCATGAGAGAGCAGGGAGAACAAAACAGAGATGAAAGAGAAGTACAGGCAGAGACAAAGCAGAGAAAAGGACAAATCGAGAGAGAGAGAGAGAGAGAGAGACTGACAGAGAGGGAGGAGAGAGAGAGAGAGAGAGAGGAGGAGGGGGGGGATATAAAACAGCAGTAAGTCTTGATCCAGCCCTGCATAAGAAACGTGCCCTTACCTCCCGGGCGTCATCACGGCTCTGTCTGCCAGTGCTCTCTCCTCAGGTAAAATGGACACCCTGTGAAATCTAAAGAATAGCCTCTGTCACATGTCTCTCACAGGGGGCCGCAGCCACCTCGGACCCTAGAACAGCTTTAACCCCACACCCACCCAAACTACGGCCTAAACCCCACCAAAAAAGTCCAAACAAAAGGGAAAGGATGGGCGATTATTCCTAAAGTTGACCTGATCTGCTCTGTGTGGAGAAGCTTGTGGGCAAGTGGTCAGTGTGAGCTACTCCAGAGGGTGAGAGGGTCAGAGACTTGCTGAGTCACCCACGGAGAGACAGTGACAGAAGCTCTCCTTGAAAAAATGATTAGCCTAGCCTGGTGCCGCACCTACAGGACAGCTCTCTCTCTCACTAGTGTTTACGCGTCAGTGAGGCAGAATCCAAATTTGCGACAGTAGTGCTTCATGACGCGGCATCTGATCACTTAAGAAAACGGCAGCCTGCCTTGTGCTCTGCTTGTTGTATTTCACTTCTGTGGACTTCATAACACTCACTTGGTGGTTTGTAGTCTGGATACCTCAGATATTTAGATGTATGCCAGTGAAACTCACTCTCCTAGTTCTCATTTAAAGCATTTAGTTTCCCTTCGGGGGCCAAAATCTATATTTCAGTCTTAGGCAGAAAATATGTGCATATTTTTTTTTTTTCTTGGTTCCTCTCAAGGTTTCTTCCTCTTGCTCTTAGGGAGTTTTTCCTTCCCGCTGTCACCATTGGCAACGCCCTTAGGGGCTTGGACCCAGATTTTTCTGTAAAGCTGCTTTGTGATAACACCTGTTGTAAAAAGCGCTACATAAATAAACATTATATATATATATATATATATATATATATATATATATATATATATATAATGTGGCTGGCCCAAATCGCATTTTACATTGTTGATTTTTCCAAATGAGTACTCAAATAATCAAAATCACCCATAAAAACAATAATATTTGAAGCAGCTTTTAGTCGTTTGTCTGACCGAACAGATACGTTTCCATTTTAATACGTGGTTTAGTCACACCAGCTGCGCTAGACTCCCGTCTTACGTCCTTCAAAACACGTGAGTGAAGCTATACTATACTAAACTATATTCAAAGCACCACTATGTAAAAGTTGGTGATTTGGAGACCTCTCTGGTGGAAACGTGTAATAGCAAGTAGTGGTCTGCGCAGAACTGTTTTTCAGTCCCGCTCCCGCATGGTTTCATCCGTTCCCACCCGCTCCCGCAGAGACAGAATCATTTGTCCCGCTCCTGCCCACAACCGAAACGTTTTGGCCCGCCTCCGCCTGCGCAGTTCTGTCAAGGTGAACTGACACCCAAATAACACGGAAATCATGGTCATCAGGCTCACTGTGAAGTGGCTTTACCGAACGCCATTTATTTCCAGTAAACACAAAACAGGAATTAAACAACAGAGCGGGTCTTTTTGATATTTTGGTGGCTCTGCAGCTGTGGCCATCGGACTGAAGGCTCTGCCGTCTCTGTAAGCTACGAGAAGGCGGGTGTTAACATAATCGGTTGCCTCGCAACTCTTTATAAAAACTTCATTCATTTTAAATGTTTCACTGTTACCCTTTTATACTGTTTATACATGGTTTAGTGATCATCCTATTTTACTTAGTCTATTCATTAATTTGCGGGATTTCCCACCTGCAGTGGGCTGGTTTCCTGCCCGCTCCTGTGCACAGCACTAAAAATTTGTGGTGGGTCCTGCGGGAATCTGCGGGAGTGCAGACCTCTAATAGCAAGCAAGCTTCCGACCCCTTCCTTGAGCGAATGAATCTGATGATTGTGCGCATGATGAAAGAGCATTCAAAGAGAACTCAGTCAAAACTTGGTGAAGGACGTATCTTCTGAGGATCTGAGTAAATTATCTACTATTGTCATCATATCTTCATCATTATAATGTTGATTTTGCATTTGAGACCTAAACTTCAAACCGGACCTTCTTTTTGAGCCTTTTCTTGTGACGTTATTACGTAAATACGTTAATACGTAAAGACGTATGACGTGGTCAAGCTTTAAAATAATAATTTACTAAAATGTGCTGATATTGTTGGTGTTTGGTAGTTTAGAGAAGCACCTGCACTGTACTAATAGTGGGGTATGAAGGAGACTTCTCTCTACTAAAAAAAAAAACATTTTGATTGCAATAAACCTAAAACTAAATTGCGATAAACCTGAAACCTTCCCCTAAAACATCTGAGGTGCTCACCAGTGCCCCAACAAGTGCTATGAAGAAACTCAGAAGTGAAATAAAATCAAACTGTCCTTGAAGGAATAGGTGCGGCCTCCTTAAAAACATAAGAAAGCACATCTAAGGGGGAAAAAAAAACGGAAACCTTTCCAGAAATGTCATATAATTCCAAATACATGAGGACAAACAGTTGCATGAAATTCCTGTCACCTTTGGGCACAACATCAGGCTTTTTTCACTTAATAAAATAAAATTACTATTCCAGCTACTTTAAGTCTAAACATTTCAGGTGTAAACATTTGATGACCTTAATACAAGTGCATCTTTGGTGGTACTACGTAAATAGGTTTAGAACCTTTGATGGCGGAGAACGTAGGGTTTGGAACCTTTGAATGAAATGTGTAAAGAAATATAAGAAAACGATAAAAAATAAAGACCCCAAGGATTCCTATTCTAGTTCATTTTCAGAATTAGGGAGAACTAAAGCTCATCACACAGGTTATTGTCTTCTTGGATGTGGAATGTCACTTTTAAGGCACTAAATGAGTAGCACTACAGATAAAATGATACATTAAGTAATCATATTTATATTAGCAGGAACACTTCATCACAGAAACTGGTAACAAAGGTAAATCTCATAAGACAAAGTTGCTTAGGCACATTTTCTTACTGACTTCACCTTCCATGCCCCAAAAAACACACTCACCTTCATGTATGACAAGAAGGGGCAGGCCGGTCAACAGAACTAACAATATACAGAAAGAGAGAGTGATAGATAGCGAGAGGAAGAGAGAGGAGAGAGAGAGAGAAAAAGAGAGGCAGAAGCTGAGATGGTGTTACTTACTGGGCCGCTGAAGCCGGCAAGCTGAGTGACCATGAGGCACAGGATGGACAGCAGTAGACGGGTTCGGCAAAAGAGCCAGACAACGCGGTGAAGAGAGGCCTGGTCACCTTTCAGCCTCAGCTCCTCCTCCCACAGCCCTGCCAGCCTGCACACACATATGCATATCGCATTCGTTCATCTATATTCTTTAAAAGTTTGGAAGCACCACTCAAAAGTCTGGAATTACAGTCTGCAGTAATATGAAAAATGTATAATATGCTCGTTCGGTGCAACTGCATGGATTTTAAATAATCACCATGAAGCTGCATAAAGTAAAATAAAGTTCTAGATGTGTCCTGAATGAGTTGTAGATGATTTTGAAATGACTGAGAAAGCTCACATTTCAAAAGTGGTGATCTTAAGCTGTGTAATTTGACAGGGAATGCTTGTAAATATATACAGTGGTGCTTGAAAGTTTGTGAACCCTTTAGAATTTTCTATATTTCTGCATAAATTTGACCTAAAACTTCATCAGATTTTCACACAGGCCCTAATTGTAGATAAAGAGGACCAAATTAAACAAATGAGACAAAAATATTAGACTTGGTCATTTATATATTGAGGAAAATGCCAATATTACATATCTGTGAGTGGCAAAAGTATGTGAACCTTCGCTTGAGGAACATTAACATTAGCCACTGTGAGTCAGGTCTTTAGTTGCTTAGAAGTTACCCTGGGTTCCTTTGTGACCTCGCTGGCTATTACATGTCTTGCTCTTGGTGTGATCTTTGTTGGTCGACCACTCCTGGGGACTGTAACTGTGGTCGTAAATTTCCTCCATTTGTACACAATCTGTCTGACTGTGACTGGTGGAGTCCAAACTCTTTAGAACTGGTGTTGTAACCTTTTCCAGCCTGATGAGCAACAGCAGCTCTTCTTCTGAGTTCCTCAGAAGTCTCCTTTGTTTGTGCCACGATACACTTCCAAAACCATGTGTTGTGAAGATCAGACTGTGATAGATCTCTGTTCTTTAAATAAAGCAGGGTGGTCACTCACACCTGATTGCCATCCCACTGATTGAAAACACCCGACTCTAATTTCACCTTCAAATTATCTGCTAATCCTAAAGGTTCACATACTTTCGCCACTCACAGATATGCAAAGTTGGATCTTTTTTCTCAATAAATTAATGACCAAGTCTAATATTTTTATCTCATTTAATTTGGTTCTCTTTATCTACTATTAGGACATCTGATGAAGAAAATCTGATGAAGTTTTAGATCAAATTTATGGAGAAATTTAGAAAATTCTAAAGGGTTCACAAAATTTCAAGCACTGTATCTAAAACATGCTATTTATCTTATAATAACCAATCGTTGTACCCAAGATGCATTGGGTGCCTGGATATAATAATTAAAATCACACCGTATAAGTTATAAATTACTTACACAATGTGTTTGTATACAATACGGTTTTCAAAACTTTATATGAAATTTCTGTAGCTGACCCCAAAATTTTAAGTCTTGTGCAATACAGACCGTCTGCGATTGGTCTCGCAGCTCTCCCAACGTGACACAGCCCACACGTCTTCCAGGAACAGCTGACCTTTCTTGTGAGCAAGCAAGGCCAGTGGAGTGAGCCAGCTGAAAGTCATAAAGGAGAAGAGGCCGGCGTTGTCCACCGGGTGCTGATGCCTGGGACGCACGAGAGGATAAATAACAATAGTGTAAGTTTTTAAATTTGCTCAAAGAAGCAAACTGGTGGAAAAGATTGTTAAACAGATCATCCTAAAGAGAGCATTTAGCTCTCTGAATCAAATGCTTAATATTTAGTCATTAATCCTCAGACTTAATATCAAGTATCAACTACCATAAATTGCCCAGTACTATGAAAAAATCAGTGTAGAACTTTGGTGTGAGCGCACATATAGTAGGGTTTAACCCTTGTGTGGTGTCGATGTGTTTGTTACTCGGTGGTCTGCTGGACCCACCACATTATTGTTTTTTTAATCCATACAGCCATAACAATTTACGTAAAAATACCAGATGTTTAAAATATCACAAGTGTCCAGCGTAGGGTTCTCAATTAGCAGCTGTAGCCAGTCAGCAGCCTGTCCATGTTGTCCACCCTCACACACACACACACACACACACACACACTAACAGCAGGACATGTAGGAGGAGAACAGAGTGAAGGGACACCTCCACACTTTTACTCCCCGCGGGTTCACCGAACACCACATGTGTAATATTAATGTGTGGGGGGTGAACAGAGTGAAGGCACTGAAAATGGGTTATTTATATGTTCTTCATAGAAAATGAGCAAAGGCCAAGAATCTGAGGCTGAATCGGTCCCACAGACCCCAACACCACACAAGGGTTAAGGGGTTAATCTGCATGTTCACAACTAGAGTTAAAGGTACTGTAGCATCAACCTGTGAGCTACATTTTCTAACACATTTTCAACAGTTACTGTGGAAAGCTTACTTGCTGGTTGACCGGAAAGGCTTAAGGACGCCCACACTGTGGTGATATTTGCTTCGGCCTGCGTCCTCCTCCAGCTCTTTAGTGTGAGAAACACTCCCTCCGTCCAGCGGGAAGCCGCCCTCAGCCCTGCCTGCTGTCTCCAGAGCATCCTGACCACAAGAGTGACACAGAACCATGAGCTAAGCATTTCTAAAAGACAGAGACTTTATCGGTGCAAAGATGAAAAAGGGAATTGAAACTGTGTATTTTCCTTTTGTTCGCAAGTGAGAGGTCATCTCTGCGCTCACATGATTCATTCCCTGTGAAGAAACATCTCACATGGCCGAGAGGAACGCTTAGTCAGAGCTCGCTCACGTTTTAAATTCCACACGCATGTTCTAGGCAAGTTCTGTCTGGTTGAAACAGAGAAAAACATGTACACCACTACATTCTCATCTCTGTTTTTCAGACTATCTACAAAGATATACATATAATCAACACCCATATTCTTCTAGTTTTCAGCCCTGATGAATTCTGGCTGCACTAACCTTAACCTTAACCTTATTGACCAGGGTATATTTTGGTTTGTCTATCTGAATTTACATGGCAAATTATTCAGTAACTTCATGAAATAACTTTTTTTATTTTACTTATTTATTTATTTTTTGTAAAAGCTTTTTTTGGTATTTTTTTTTGTAAAACACATGTTATGATCATACACGTATTACTATATGCTTACAATTTACTGCTTAAAGTCAAAAATCTTAGACGCTCTTTGTATTATTTTATAAAAATAATTTTTACAGAGCAGATCACTGAAGAAATGCCATCTGCTTACAGTTTATATCCCAGATTTGTGGAAAAATGGGTCGACTTTCAGTAGAAAAAAAAATTGTTGAGTTCAGCTTCTTTTATTATAAGGGTTTAAAATTACATCACCCATCTATTTGACTGGAAAGCAGACAGTTACAGCTCTCATACGACCCCCACCTTTAGAATGTAGCTTATGAAATATGAAAGTTATGAAGAATATGAAAAAAGCATAAAAGCATTCATCTTTAAGACAGTTTGTCTGTGTAAACTCTACCAGCACCACCACTAGGACTGAACGATTCTGGGAGAATTTCTAATTGTGATTTTTCTGACTGATTCTGCGATTTAAATGCAGTAATTTTCTATACATTAATTTCCAGTCTTGTTTTTTTGCCCAGGAAGACCAGAATATCCCCTTTTTTGGCACGAAGCCTGAACGCTGAGTGTGCCAGACTACCAGTTGGCTGTGATGGCTGTGATGTCACACATACAGAACATGGGTATTTTGCTGCTTCTGATTGGTCTCATCTACAGGCAGCTTACAGGCTGTGTTATTAGTTCAATTTTTACCACTTGAAGCTTAAGACAACATTATTGATAATGCATAATCAAAATTGCAGCTCTTGCGATTTGAAAATTGCAATCTTTCAAAGTGCAGTTTGATATAAAAACGATTCATCTTTCAGCTCTAAACAACACCACTTACTTTGGATCATTCTAAGTTTTCGTCTCTACATTGCTGAGCACTCTGGTGAGGTTTTACCTCGTCTTTCCTCGCTCTTCTCTTTATAACTGATTATGCCAACAGCTCTTATGTCTTTTTGTTTGTTGAGGCTGAGGTGGAGTTCACTGTAAGAGACGGATCTGGGTGTAAATCCAACACTAAACATTCACAGTTTTGTTTTACTGTAAGATGTACGGGCATAAAATTTTCCTTTCATGGTAATTCTCTGTAAAGTTAATGGATAATTCCTTTATTCTTTAATAACTGTATATTCCATGTACATAGAGGACAGTTCCCTGACTTCATACTTGGGACAGAACTGAAAAAAATATAGCAGTGTTTCTTCATATACATATATATAAGATTAAAGTACAGTTGGTTAAGAGTATAGTTATATAGTTGAAACATTATATATATGTAAGATTAAAGACTTTGCTAACAGGCCTAGTTAGCCTAGATGATGAATCTTAAACCTTTTTTGCTAGTAGAAAACTTTATATAACACAACTGTGTGTAAAAAACAATGAAACAAGAAAAAGTGTCTTTTATTTGTATCGGTGGAGATTTGACCTCAAGTGACTTAATCTATTTTGCCTTCAGCAAAACAGTGGAAAAGTTTGCTGTAAGATTAAAGATGCTAAGGTGCTTCATCCTATATATATGCCTGTGTGTGTGTGTGTGTGTGTGTATATATACATATATATATATATATATATATATACACACACACATATATATATATATACACACACACACACACAGGCATATATATAGGATGAAGCACCTTAGCATCTTTAATCTTACAGCAAACTTTTCCACTGTAAAATAGATTAAGTCACTAGAGGTCAAATCTCCACCGATACAAATAAAAGACACTTTTTCTTGTTTCATTGTTTTTTACACACAGTTGTGTTATATAAAGTTTTCTACTAGCAAAAAAGGTTTTAGATTCATCATCTAGGCTAACTAGGCCTGTTAGCAAAGTCAGCTAGTTGGCTATCATGCGCATGAATTCCATTTATTACACAACCAACATCAAAACACTGCTATAAAAATTAAAAGCCAAATCAAAGAATCTCAAGTCTAGCTAGCTAGTTCACATTATGCTAGCCCGTTCGCTAACTACCATAATAGCCAACGTTCACTTAAATATATTTAAAGTCAACATAAAGCTATAAATATATATCTCATATTTTATATATCCTTAAGCTATATCTCTTATTTGCTTTTCTCTTTTACTTATTTGGCAGAATCGCTTTATAAAAACAACCGAAATATTCAACTATATAACTACACTCCAAACCAACTGTACTATTCTAGTATATACAACTATTAAGCCATTAGTACTGTAGTACTGTTCAATATTACTGCTTTAATAACACACACTCTCTCGCTCTCGTGCTCTCACACACACATACTTTCACGTAGAGCTGGGCGATATGGCCAAAAATGTTATCATGATAAACAAAATTCATATTGTTCGATATCGATACATACGCGCGATAAATGTCAAATCATTATTTCTTTCAAGTTTGAAGGCTGGTTTTTGCTCCTGGGGGGGTTAATTTCTGTTTTAAACTATCCTTTATGGTCTGAACACGACGAACACTCAAACAGTGGAACATTTCACAGATCTGCCATGGGAGAGTGGGAGAAAGTGTCTGGTCAGCTGTTTTTACCAGCTGGAAAAGCACGGTCAATAATTATAATAGTCATAATTTAAGAAAGAGAACAGATTATTTTAGCTGTCTGGTGACGAGCGCTCGGCTACCTCGCTACAAATGCTAAACAAGTGGCCAACAACAGTGCTGAACTGCTTAGTTTCTCAACAACGTCAACTTAGTACGAACAGCAAAGACTAGCTGGCTCGGTGGGTCAGTGATGGACCACACCGCCTCACTGCCGTCCCTCCTACCACATCCATGTCAGAGCATATCACAGTATTCAAACACCAGTTAGCAGACGACTGGGTTTCTCTATTCTATTGTAGTAGTTTAAGGGGTGAACCGCAGTATATCTGACTCTCGCTGTGGAAAACTGCAGTGTGAATCTGTGGGAGTCCTCCTTTTAGGTACGTTCAAACTGAAAGCGGTGCTTTTGTGTCGTGTTTGATCTACAGTATCATCAGTTCACCGTGTTGTGGAGTGACAGAGCTGCTCAAGTTACCCAGCTGCTAAAAACAGCTAGCCTGGAAAGACAGCGCTCTCCCGCTCTCCAATGCCTCACAGCTTCCTCAGTTTACTTTCGTTTAAATCAGGGCTGTAATTTACATGAACCCACTTCTTTCTTTCACTTTTATTGCTTGGGAATGCGCTAATACTAAAATATGACTGAGCGCTGTAACAGTGCTGTAGTTGAGAGGAGCAGGCGTGATTTAACGCTGCTAAAGCTGGTTAGGATGTTAGTAAAGAGGTGAGCTCGCTGTAGGACAGTACAGTTACACCACTGACCTCGTCACTCACACTCGATCACAGGAGAACAGATCGCCGGTCGCTCCACTCAAACAGGGAATGTATAACTCCACGTTTCAGATGTTGCTAAAGTATATTTGGCAACCCTTTTTTTACTCGCCGCCCCCTCCCTCTTTAATCATCAATCATGTCGATAAACTCGGAAGTGCGCCCTCTCTCTGGCGCCCTCTCCTGGCGACAGAGTAGTGTCACTTTCCTTGCAGGAGAAAATGCGACCAACCCATGCGAGAACGTGGAAGTGTGAGAATGGTGTATTATATCAAACATTTATCTAACATTTCTTATCGCTCAATCAAGTAAAAGTTATTACGCGATAATTATCGTTATCGTTTTATCGCCCAGCCCTACTTTCACGCATACACATGCTTCTCTCATAACGACAAACAAGTCTGACAACAGGCAGAGAACCACTGAAGTTGGTTTTCCTCCGAGGTAGCTGAGACAACAGTCTCTCATACAGGCTGTTGGCCTTGGCGACCTGCACTGCGGAGCATCCTGCTGACGACACGGCTAAACGCTCAGACCAGCGGGCAAACCGTGAGTGTCTGCACGTGTATACAAGTGAGGATTGGGACGTGCTGGATCTCTGAAACATTTTAAAACCCAGAGAGGCAGAAAAGAGCCAGCGGGATTAGACCACTAAAGTGAACACCATGTTCTTTAAAGCGCCTCACAGTCAGATTAAAGGCAGCGTCTTCAACTGCCAACAGCACCATCAACAGCTCACGGCAAACAGATCAGACTCCACTAATCGAGATAAACTGAGTTACATAATTAACGTTATGCAAACTTCTTGACCAGCCTCAGTCTTGAAACTACACTTTATTATGATGCTCCACTGCAGATGTTCATTCAACTGATGTTCAACTAAATATATATTAAGCTCACTTTATCCTTTGCTCTAACACTAAACTTAAAGGCCTCATATCATGGAAAACCTTTAACAATTTTAAATGTTTAAAATGTATGAAAACTAAGTCAGTCTGTTTTAGATTGTTTTTGTGATGTCACAAAACCAGCACATTTACCTATACCTGCCTATTCAGCCTAGACCCGCCCACTCACAGTGAAGTTATAAGGAGTGTTTCAGACCACACTGTTTTATCAAAAAGCCACATTACAGGGCTGATCAGAACAGGGGCCATTTAGGCTACGTTCACAT